GAGACTTTTGGGCATCATACAGCTACCAAGCGCCAAGTCAAACAATCAAATGGCAACTTCGAGCTCTTGACTTCTTGCACTCGGTATTCCCGATATAATCTGGACGGCGAGACGTTTCAGAGATGCTGTCTTGGCCCGCACTTGCCACAGGTTCCGACGCTTCTGCAGCTGCTTTGGTGCCATGACCTCATGAGGACAGCTGGGAGCAGGAAAGGAATGATGTTGAAACTTGAACGTGTCGCGAGAAACAATCGCTCATCTATAGCGGAATCCAAAAATTTGAGTCTTCAACACATCAACTGTTAAACTGAAACGGTGGAGTTGAGCGGACACTCAAGCACTTTTCTCATTCGGGCATGTTCCGGCGAGCTTTTTCCGACTTGCTTCCATGGTCGACCGAACGAAGCAAACAAAACAAATATAAGGTCGTTATCAGCTATTTTTGTTGCTTTGTTTTCAGACTTGGAGACATAAATCAGTAGCGGTCGAGCCAATATCCGACGGATATTGAGTGCTGTGGGGCCATAAACTTACAAAACGACAATTCCGACTGAAGAGTTTTTTGTTTTGTTGCGGTGACTCCTGAAAACATGTGATCCCCACAAAGTGCTCGGAGGCTATAGTGCATCATCCGCTCTAAGCTTCCAAGGGTGTGTTACCCCATAAGTCAAGTTGTTCGCAACTTGACGCCCTACACACACGTGCAAGCGAACGGCGAAAAGATCCAAAACTCCTTATAGCAAATCCATCTGGAATTTACTCGGGAGTCGGACATGTTCTATCTTTGTAAAAGTCGGAAACTGCCTTCTTGCAAGTCTTTTTTGCTTGCTCAATAAACTCAATCAACTCAGGGTATTCGCTGAGCATCTTTGGTTGTTTGCTCTCAGAAGCCAATGCATCAGCATATGTCCCCTCAGCGCGCGCGTGCATTTACTTGAACACAGAACTTTGTTGGACAAGATTCTCCAAACACTGTTGTTAATTTTGCACTCAAGCATTTTCATTGTTTGAGGCAAACAAGTGACACAGGCAAGAGCTGCGTGAATCGCTGCGGCCATTCTGTAGTTCACAGGAACATTCGTGGCGCCCGGGCACGACAAGGTACCAGCGTCCTTGCCCTCTTTCTTGCACATGATGCCCACTGCCCCACGAGTCCAATACTTGTTGACGAACTTACAAGTTTCAAACGAAATGCTAGAAAGCTTTAGCTCCATCCAAGTCCTTTGGGATTCTCCTGGTATCTTGCTGAACTCGTTCAGGAATCTACGAACCTCCATGTAGTCTTTCTGGGTGCTCTCTTCACTCTCTCCCTTACCCTTGATGCTGGGTTCCATCTTGTCTTTCTTTTGCCGTTTTGCCACGGCCTCTGTTGCCTCTTTTGCAACTTTTGACTTCTTCTTAGCACTTTGACCCGCAGGACTCTGGTCAACTCGGTTTTTCCTGTTTGTGCGTTGTTTCTTCGTCTTGTCTTTCTCCATGTTCTTCAAATCTTCCTTTGCTTCTTGAGCTGCCCAAAAGGCAGCATTGTCCCAAACCCAACCTTTTGCTTTCTCGGACCACGTGTATCCGTCCCATTCATCATCATACATTTGGGTTTCCCAATCCTCCCATTCTTTGTTTGCAGCCTTTGCTGCCGATCGAGATCTGCGACCCTTGAAATAAATGTCTTCTTGCTTGTTGTCATGTTCTGCACGTTCTTTGGGTGTACGTTTCTTTGGTGCACTCGCTGCACTGCTCTCAGGCTTCGACACTCCCCGACCCCTTCCTCTCCCTCTTCCACGTCCACGTCCTCGTCCTGTTTTCTCGGAATCAGGCTTGGCGTTCAACTGTTCCTGTCTAGTCACGAGCGGCTTTCCAGGTTCCACCTGCGCGGAGATCCAACAATTTGCACCCGATTGGTATGGGTATCTTCAGGAAAACTTAACTACAACCCTTTTTGCAAAACCATGCATATCATCACACAGTCACACAGTCAAGGATATTGCACAGGTGTCCCTAGCCTGCTCATCGCTACTGGTGAAATCCTTCTGTTCTTTCATATTCGAAGATGCAAGCTTTATCTCATGGCTTTCCGCTGGCGTAGACGACGTATCGGGTGTGTAAACCTTTGTAGCAGATTTGGTTTTGGTCTGGTTGGTTTCATGCGATCCTTCCTCCCTTTCCATCGTTTCATCTTTAGCTTCACTTGTTGACGGTGGGTCACATCGTTGGTAGGCTGCCCTCCTTTCCTTGGTAGACATGTCCGGTGAAGTTGATGGTTTTGGGCTGTCACCGATGTCTGCATACGTCAGGTCTGCAGGATATGTCTCCACGTTGTCGATGTTTGTCTTTGCTCGATGGAGGCCCTGTCCTGACATGTATTGCGCTGTGAGAAAACACAAATTCAAATGTATTCGAAACCCGTTCTTGTCATTTTCAGGTCCTGCTTCAGTCGGCGCTGGGGAACTGATAGGTGGAGAAAGTGTGGATGCTCTAAGTGCTTTGGCTTCTCGCAACCTGAGACGGAAGAAAAGTCGTGAAAATTAGACCTAAAAACTATAACTTCAAATTACCGAAACTGATCAAACCACATGTCCGGCTAAAAGGCTTGGCAAGTTTAGCTTCAAGCTCTGCTCGATATTGGACCAGTTCTGCCTTACCTGAGCATGGAGTCGACAAAATATATCATTAATAGCGTTGTTGAACTTGTCCGAGAAACATGAATAACTGCTTTGCTCTTTCACTGATAAGTTGAGGTAAGTTACTCTTTTCAGGTGCCCGTTGTGGCTGATCATCAGGGGTGCGAGAAGGTGCATCGGCTAGTGGCTCCACCGTTGAAGGCTCATGATTTGAAGAACACTCAGCATCAGAAGGAGCAGCCATGTGGTGAACTAGCGCTTCGGTGCTAGGTTTGTATTCTGGCTCATTCGGTTTGTCACTCCTATCATTCAGCAGACTCTTCGAACTCTCATCTTCCTTGGTGGGCCCTGTTGGCGGTGGATCAACAATCTCATCACCCTCACCCTCTATTTGCTCTTGTTCCTCTTCTTCACCCTCACACTCCTGATCCTCCTGCTCCCAAGCGTCCTCATCATCAATTTCCTCCTGCGCGTGCATAGAGAGCGACACAACTGATAATTCAAACATGAACTGTTTCCTTCTACTGTTTGGAAACCAAATGCACATGAGCTTGAAGCTCTGGACACATACAGCACGTACAGCAAAACGTCCTCTTTAGAGCTCTTACGGGCCGCTAGTTTGGCATTGGTTTCATCGACCAAGCCCTGAACATGGACTTGCAGCAGGATTGAAATGACAATTTGTTTTGGTGTTTCATGGATTCAACCAGTGTTACTTAACATCGTGAAGCTGATGCAAAAGGGACAAATACCTAATATGTCAATAAATCACCTGCCTGCAGATCTGGGTCAAGTTGGAGACACATTGCTTGGAACTCTGGCACCTCAAAAATATTGTAATATATGAGCGAAATCACTGCAACAATGGTAGCGGCACAATGCTTTGAACATCTTTCAATATAATACTGTGTTTCAAAAATAGCCTTATTTCCAAACAAGGCACGGTGGACACCTCGCCACGTCGTACCTTCATTTTTATGAACCCCAGTAGTTTCCTGATTTTCCACCCGATGCTCACGATATTGGCTTCGTCCTCTGTAGTGCTTGGTCTCTTACACGTCTCGAAAAAGGACTGCACTGCACAACGTAAAGGCTCCACCTGAGGCAAGGGACGAGTTTGTAGTAAGCTCATCCTCGTGAGGAAGGGCCAAAGCACCGCCTCACATTTCACGCAGGCCGCAATGTCCTCGCCACCTGTCGTATCTAGCAACAGATCATGGTTCCTCATTCGCTCGCGAATGCACTCACATGAATCCCAATCAGAAACAAGTCCTTCAAGATTGAGAGTTTCACTAGGCTGCCGAGGTCTCCCACTGCGATTCCCTGGGTTTTTTGCCATGCTAGCAACCAAGACGCGAAAAGGAAAACCTTCCCGGAGTGTTCGGGCCAAATGGCTTTGGTGGCAATAGTGGTTCAATTGTGCTTTGCGTGCCATTGCTTTGTGATCTCTTATGCTTTAGATTCGGGGCCTGCTGGACCCCAGACCGCCACATTCAAAGCCGTGCTTTGCAGGATTGCTGGCGACCGAGGGCCCCACCGTTCTCGCGGAAAAAGCTCGCCATGTTGCGGAGAGGATGTGAGCTTTTTAAAGGTAACAGCTGAAAATGTTGCCCATCAGGGGCCCATCATTAAAAAACATTGGCTGGATTCAAACATCAAAGTGGAGGGTAGAGAGATTTGTGAACCCACTGTGTGAGAGCCCGTCTATGTCGATTAGGACCAGTACATGCAGTCCACCTTCTGCATCTCAGAGACCATGCAATTCTTGCTTTGTTGATTCATTCTCCAACTTCAGCGATTCCGTGATGCATACAACGGCAGGGTTGCGACAAAAGTCCATCAAGGTTGCTCCCAAAGAGCTTAGGCCATATCATAAGGCCCTTTGCACCTTAAAATCAAGCAAAACCCGAGGTTTCGCTGGAAAACCCGATGTTTGCAAGCTGTTAGTGTGCAAACCTAAGGTTTCGACACAGACCCGACATTTTTTAAGGTTTTCGAAGGTGAGGGTATATATATACATATATCATACAATCTAAGTATATGTATTGCATGTGTATACATTATAAGTACAGTATATATATATATAATCAAGTATATAAGTATATATATTATGTTAACTGATCCTTTAGTTCGTTACAACCTCTGTCTGAAAGCTTTCCGTAAGAATTGATGGGCTCTCACTCTACCCTCACCGCCGCAAGCCACAAAATACCTGAACTCCAAACACTTGCCCTGGCTTTTGTCGTAACATTCATAGCATTGTCCAAATCGTGGAACAATGTGGAACATCAAAACACATGGTGTGGATCTTCGTCCCGTCCACGGCGGTCTCGACCGCGCGGCCAACGGCGGTCTCCGGCGATCGTCTCCAGCCGAAGGCACGATGTTGGTGTGTCCAGCCCAGGCTGCAGCGATCTCCGCGGCGCACCACATGCGCTTCAGGGTCTCGGAGGTCCTCGGAGTGTGGACCCGACCCACGGCTTCAGCAGCAACATCTGAAACATCCAAAACCGGTGAAAAACCAGTCAAAACCAGTCCAACACGAAAAACAACTGAAAAACGGCGAAACAACACCTGTGAAGATGTTTTCGAACATGCATGAGCGCATTCTGGCTGTCTCGTGCCATTTCGAAGGAACGGAGCAAAAAACATCCGAACGGATGTGTATAGATATATAAATCATGATAAATCTCTGCACCAGCCAAAATACCACGGAATCCGTGAGGTCTGCAGTTTTGAACAGGTTGGAACATGTCCAAGGAACCAGGGGCCAAGAGATGTTATATACAGTAAGTGAATCAAAGCCTTTCAGCCACATGGGTGTGCAAAACGAAGCACAGCTGGTCGGGGTCTCGCTTCGCCTTCAGAGGTCTAAAGAATGGCCGCTTCGCTCAGGAATCATGGAAGAACCTATCCATGGCGCCACTGGAAACCTGTATTGAAGCCATAACTGAACATCACCTGTATTAGCCGGAATAATCATCCAATGCCATAACTTGGACTGAACAGATCGTCAAACCCCGTAATTGATGTTGGTCTCGCATCTTGCGGCCAAAGCATCATAATCACCACCACATTCTCACAGTCGCAGGCGCACACGTCGATGATGGCATCTAACTTGCTTACGTCATCCGAGTCCAAGAAGATCCGGTCCTCGCACATGCCCGAACAACTATCAGTCTGCTCACCTAAATAGTGGAGCCAATCATCTTGAGGCAGGCCCAAAGGTGAAGCAGCAGCAACCAAGATAGTGCACAGCTTGATATCTGGACTTTCAATAGGATCTCCTTTGTCGTTTACAGTTCCTCTGCAGATCTGGGAAACAGTTGATTAGAATCACAGGAAATCACTGGAAAGGGATCAAGTTTAGACCTGGATCATGGGCACCCTGCACCTTCAAGACTCACCAAGAAGTACGACCTCAATTTGTAGGGCAGACTTTCAACCAACAACAGGATAGCAATCACATCGTACCACTGAAAACATTCTTTCACCGAACTGCACAAACTGGTTGTTGCATGTTGTTGTATGTTATCCCAAAACGCTTGATTCGATGCGATTGATGTGGCCCTGCTTCATGTAGCTAGCTACTTCACCTCATCGATGAAGTCGATTCGCACGGCCCATAATTAGACCGGTCCTTGACAATGGCGCCCAAAAGCATCTTTAACCATCTGCATAGGACTGCAGCCCCCAGCTTGTGATGACTTAAGAAGATTCCATAGGTCTTGCTGGGCTTGTAGGTCCGGTAAGCCACCATGCCAATCACTGCAAGTAGAGCGGTGCTCACCAGGATAAAGCCTATCCTGAGTTTCTCTGATTGAAGGTCATCCCATTTCATTGGCTTTTTCCGCTGCCAAGGGGCATGGAGAGGATCTGGATGACCACTGTACCCCGGGCAACATCGAAGTTCAGCAACGTGCTGCCCAACACTACGGTGGTCACCAAGGTGAGGGCGAGACCTCACGCGCCAAACTTCCCTCATGGACCGTCCCCAAGATACTCGACGCCACGATGGGATGATGGGAGCCATTGAGAACCATTGAGCACAGCCATACCAGAAAATACAAAGCATCTTGAGTGGGGAGTGAGTTTCTACAATGAGGTCTGGAAGGTCAAGACTATGCCCTCATCTTCGATCCCCAGAACCAGTTTGAAAAGAGGAAGAACCCCTCCAGTCAACAACCTGCTCACGTCCTTTCAGTCAACCCGTCCAGTGGCTGCTACAAACTGTGGACGGGTCAGTGGACGGCCTTCAAGGTGCTCTTTTGGGCGCTCTCTTTGGTGGGCAAAGCCTTCTTTGGTATCGCAAACTGCTTTGGCATGTCTTGCTCCTTTCAAGCAAGCCAAGAAAGTCCAAGTCTGTGCCTCGTAAAAGTGATAAAGATTTATTAAGCAAATCTAATGCTAAACATTAGCACATATGCTCTGCTGCTGTGGCCTTCTCTCTTGCCTGACACCTGACTTTGGTTTAAATGTACGTACACCAAAACGGCTTGCTCTGGCTGACCTCCTGCAAGCAGGCCAATCAATTCAATTCATAAGATCCACCCCTGTTGCTTGTTTGGCCACTTGCTCATGGACACGTTGTTTTTGTTCCAACCGTGAACGAAAGGATGCGCCCCTGGGCCATGCGTGGCCATGCGCGCTGGATGACCCAGAGGTGGGTGGTTCGGGTCCCACGGCCGGCCTGAATCCAAGAAGTTGGCCATGCTGGTTTTCCAGGGCCAAATGCGAGCCTGGACTGTAGAGATGAGCACGCCCCAGTCATTGAGAAGAGAGATTGAACACCTATCTAGAGTGGCCCTGCTAAACATCCTGGCATCCCAAGAAAAACGGAAAAGGAACGTCTGACTGCGCTACACTCTTGGCAAGAGCGACAATCCTTGGAGGACACACCTGGAGCGTTGCATAGGAAGCCAATGTGAGCACGTAGATCAGAAAGAGCAGTTCATTGAATGAGACGAACACCGCCTGGAATCCCGGCGCACTGCGGTCATAGCGGTGCTCAGGTCTGAAGCGGAATTTCTATAAACATGACGTCCAGTCCAAGCTTTTGAGGGACCAATTCCGAAGATGTCCTGATATGATACCACCGGGTTGTTTTCAGATGCGAACTTTCCTTTAGAAGCCTGGCAAGACATGGTACCGATAGACCAAGCAAATGTCCCTGGCCCCCAAATCTTGAAGGCACTTTTACGGAGTGTGGGACACCTTGATGTTTCAATATTGAACCGCTTCTACAAATCACCTCTCAAGGTCTTCTGCATTCTTGGATTGCTGATGATCGATTGGAGGACATTCACTAGTTTGGGTGCAGCAAGCCCTGTACTTCATGTCTTACACTGGCCCAAATTCATAGAGTAGCAGCTCTCTCTATCTCCCAAGCAAGCAGCATGGCCGTCAATGGTCTACAATCTCACATACAATCTCACATTCCAACAATAAGTAAGAATGAATGTCTCGTCAACTTGCTACCTTTGTGACTCTCACTGACCGTCGTACAACTACCATGTGCTCTTTGTTAATACAATGTGAAGGTTGGCGGCTATCTCGCACCCCTGCGAGCAGCTACATGCAAAAAATAATGGTTAGTCCTTAGTTAGTTGGGTGTACCAAAACAAGGAGTAAAGCTTGCTGACCCTAGGGATGAGTCAAACAACAAATGTACTCTTACGGTCCAAGTCCTTTCGCGCCAACCGCGCGCGTCGTTCGACGCCCTCGGACAGTTGGCGCCAAGCGTTGCCGGGTGACAGGGGAGACCCCGATGATAAAATCCCTCAGGACCACCACAAGCGCGAAGTAGCAACCTGACTACGGATTGGGAGTCGATGGAGTTGATCCAACATTAAGATTGATTTATTAAGACTAAGATTGATTCGGCCGCAGATAGGAACAGGTACCGGGGGGGGTAGGAATCAAGAACTTCAGAACTTAACTCGACCAGGCACTTCATAAAGCACCAAGTGATGGTTGTTGGTACTGAAACCATGTGGATATGTTGTTCATAAATTGAACTTTTGTATCTTGGCATTCCACCTCACGAGTTCAGCTTGGCAGCTTGGCACACAGATCACAAGCTCTCTGCTCTGTCTGTGTTTTTCTCCATGCCCAAGTTGGGCGTCGCCGTGTCGCCGGACTCACCACGCCCTGACCACGCCCGGACGAGGACTCGTTCGCACCGAGCAGCCCGAGGCGTTGAAGCGCGCGAAGGCAAAGGCCCAGCGCTTCACGAACTTCACACCACCAGGGCGAGCGACCCGACGTCCATACTGAGTGACCTGGGACTAGGCTATCCAAACAAGGTGAGCTACCTGAGCTAACTAAGACTGAGTTGAGTTTTGTGGATGCTAAGTGTTTGTCTTGCTGCAGTTGTGTATCTTGTTGAAGACATCTCAAAAGGAATTTTGTTTGACACCTTTTGACACCCAAGATGAATCTTTAATGTTCAATTCACGCGAAACTGATATCCTTCACTGATACGTTCGAACCATGTCCGAACCTTTCAACTTCTCTGCGTTTCTGACTCAGGCTCCGACCGCCCAAATCATCACGGACATGAAGGGCAACACTCCGCCCAGGATGGGCACTAAGGCAAGAGCCACCATGGCCTCTCCCAGGGAGTCGTGTGCTCATTAGGAGAAAGACTATGGATAGAACTTGAGTATGAACTCTTAAAAAAAGGGATAGAACATTTCCATGGGATAGAAAGATCTGGAATCAAAGCAACAATCCAGAACCCTCTGTTGGGATCCCCACTTTTCCGACCGAACTCCGTGGTGCCTGATGAGTTCCACTGGTCCAGCAAATGGTCCCCCGGTCATTGGCCATGCTGCTCGTGCTATCGGGGTTGCCCACGCATTTGAAGGGCCTCACCGACAGTGAGGACAAGGCCTTGGCGCAGACTTGGAGAGGCGCCATGCCATGCTTCAGCTTCGCCGTGGTGAGTCAAAAGTGGTTGATATGTGTATATATATATACACATAACATGTCATGTATAGTAGTAATGTATAGACTACATATACTACTATAATACACGTAAATTGTTTGTATCTATTATATATGTATATATACACATAATACATATATATATAGTATAACGTCTTTCCTAGCTCTGAGTCAGCGCCGGTGGGGCAAACTGAATTCCTTGGCCAAGCAAGATCTGCTTCACTGAGGCTCTGGCAATGAAGACAGCCTTACATGCCAAATCTTGGAGCTGAATGAATCCCAATGTCTTGAGTTCATCGAAAAAATATCCAGTTCAAAGACATGACCATGTGGCAACATGTATCATTTTTTTGAAGAGCCTTGAGGGGGCTTGATGTGGCTTCGATGAAGTGAATTGCAATACATTGTACTTTTGGTAGGTTCGCAACGCAAAATGCACAGTACACGTGAAATTCATTAAGCCAAAGATTCTGACAGAATCAAGCCATTGACGTTGATCAGGTCATTCAATGTGATGTCCTTCTTCAAGACGTATTTGGCAAAGCCCAAGACGGAACAAAAGAAGGCACAGCCCGCAGGATAGACTAGAATTGCAAAGAGATAACCTGGGATTTGCTTAAGTATATGCTTGAGGAAGCTGAAAGAAAAGTGCTAAGAAATCCAAACTTGCAGGGGCACTTGAGAGAGGAACAGTAAACATCAGTAAACTAAAAGGAAGAAATATGACAAAAAAAAAAAAACTTGCCCACCGGTTCCAAGGAACTCGTAAATGCGTTCCTTTCTCCCATCCAGCCTTGGTCGGAGGGATTGCTGATCTAGGACTCATGTATGTGACATCTGATGGTCCTAATGATGGTCCTAATTCGATCATCATGTGCTTGGGCCGTTCACTTCAACAGTGGACTCGTGTCTGTTACGGACCACGGACGGCCCAGTTCTCGGCTCCGTGCAGCCAGGTCTGATCATGGTCAGGTCGAAGGTGAGGAAAGCGAAGACGCCCTTGAGAGTCTTTAACGGCTCAATCCATTGGACCTCGACCTGTGACGGGATGTCGGCAAGCTCTAGATGTGACCAATTTCACCAGCCTGGGATGTCTTTGGAACATGACCGCATGACCGTGAAAGTCTCACCCTCAGTGTGAGTTGCCCTCGACTTGGGTGTCCCCGAAAAGGCTCACGCTTGCCCATATCGAACATGCTGATGGACTCAGTCTCCAGTACAAATAACCTCTAGGGATACCCAGGTGAAAGAGGTCATCACATAGTCCTGATTAAATCAAAAACTAAGAATATCATTTAGTCCAAAAATGTTCAAAAACTATCCTAGCTAGCAAAATGTCTCTTGCCCTTTCAGATAAGCTGAGCTCACCGATGGGATCTGTTGTTCCCACCAAAAGGTCTGGAACCGAACCGGAACCGCGTGCTCCACAAACCGAACCGAACTCTGATTCTGGCCCATTCTCCAAATACCCCCCACACCTTGCTGAAAGCCGGAAAGGCTTGGAGTGTTGCGACGATGAGCCCCGTGCTGAAGAGAATGGTGGCCACAGCATCGCGACTCGAACGATCCACCTTGGTGGCGAACTTGTAGACAATGACCTCAGAAGGCGGAGATCTAAACAACTCAAGAAGGACTTGGTGGTCGCGTCTTCACATTTCAGGGTGATTTTTTGCTTAAGGAGTCAGCATGATTCAGCTATATACATGTTCAGGGAACTGTATAGGGCATGCCTGTTCTCGTGGTATGAATCACGTGCTTTGGATGTTTACAAACATTGGTGCTGAATTTGGTCGACACGCTGGCGTTGTGAGCGGACTCTTGGGACTTTTTAGCTACGATTATGTGCCGACCCACGCCCAAATACTCAAGCTGAACAACTAAATGTTGCCTCAAGCACTTTTTGCGTCCAAATCCAAACGCCCAATGCCACGCACGGATTAGTAAAGGCTAGACAAAAATTTCAGTTTTTCTTGCCAATGGGCAGCTAACCCCTTTTAGACAACGACATGCAAGGATTACAAACCCTGATGTTGCGAGGCCATCTGTTTTTTGGGGGTGATAGCTGAACCATGCTGAACCCATTGGAGTTGGTTCAGGTCGAATCACCAAGACGACAATGCAGAAGATCAATGCCACGATCAAAGGCCAAACCGCATAGGTGGAGTCCTCAGCCCGAAAAAATGCCGGCCCGTGGATGCCAGCTGTGGGAATTCCCTAGCCATTTTGGGTAAGAGTGCGGTGCACCCAGCCATGAAGCTGTGATGAACCGCTCAACAGCTGTGGGGTCGCTTCCCCACCAAGACTCGCGAGCACGTCGTGAGATGTCGTCTCAGACGTCGTGAGCTGTGAAGAATTTTGCTAACAACATGACACGAACATCTCTCTATGCAATATGTGTGGTCCATCCAACCAAGGTCACAAACTAATCTCTTTGATTCTGCACGATTCTACTACACTGCACTGATGCAGTGCCTTCCGCCAAAGGGATACATTGTACGACACGTTGATCTGATACGAACAGCATGTGGCATACAACATGGATCTATACCGTCCGGGTTGTAACCATTAACTACATCTGCGCCAATCGTCTGCGGCCTGAAAGCCTCCAACTTGTACATGATTGCTGCGTTTAGGGAAATCGTCTCTGTTTGACAAAAAAGATCGCGTGACCTCACATTGATGCCTTCTGACACGACTGGGTCCATAAACGCCAGCAAGGATGCTTCGAACAAAAACAAGGCTACGGCGCCGTTAGCGGCTGTGGGAATTTTGCACACGCTCAACGGAAGAGTTCAGGGACTGCTTCCCAAAGGTTCTGACAGCGGATCCGGGCATTGCACTGCCACTGCCACGCGAAAACCCAATTATGTATATCTGGCTTCACTAGACGATTCTTGACATCTTTGGTGGCTAGTTCTTTTGGTATGAAGTCTTCGAGTCGTCATAGAGTCGAGGGGAAAACATCATGCACGTCTCGTACAACTCAAACCGATTCATCACCAGCAGCGGAGTCAGTTGACGCAAGAACACCAACTCATTGAGCAAGTAATCCCACGGTACACCTTGTAGCTGACGCAAAGCCAGCAGCTTAAGAACTCAAAGAACTCCACAGCCGTCAGCATGGCGGAGTGGAAACGGTCGGTTCGGTAAGCTTGAGGATCTGAGAATGGCACACGCATGCGCCAGGTCCCACGCGAACGAAGCGAAGACTGCGAGCGAACATCACAGGCCACCCCTAAACGCAACCTCGTAACTTAACACCCCGCCAAAAAAGGGAACCTCACTGGAACCCCGCAAACCACCCCTAAATGCAACCTGGTAACAGGAAGTTGACAAAAACGAGCAAAAAGTAGTAAAACGTAGAGCCGTAAACTCCAGTACACTTAGTCCTCCTATGTCCTCCTGTTTGATCTGTTCAGAAAAAAGTGGTAGAGCCAGAGCTCAGTGGTAAAGGGAAACGCTGGTCAAACACCGTCTTTTTTTGCTGTTGCCCTGCCGAAAATATGTGTTGGTTGACCTGCCACATCGAACAAAAACCACAAAAAGCGGGGTCCCCGGGCACACTGTTCTCTGGATCACCAAGTGTCCATGCAAGATTTGCAAAGGCCTCCATCGTCATAATGATCCGGCTTACATGCCTCGCAGGCCTTGCCCACACTGTTCTCAGGGCATTGGCCCAGCGGGAGTCCTTTCGAACAGCTGATCAGTGAATTGCACTCAATGACGTATGGCGGCTCGGCACCCAAATACGCGGGCTGACCAGCTGCAAAACCACTGTCTTGCAAAGGTGCCTGGTAGCTCGCTAGCTCGAGGAAAGCAAGCAGGCAAAGGGGGGGTCCAACACTCTAGACATTTCTGTGGAAACCGTTCAGCTGCTTGGATGTAGTATTTGGTCCAGTCTCTGTTTGTTTTGGAAAATCCCTGCAGGATCTCCTACCGGTTTGTTCATGCCTTTGAAGATTTCAGCCTACCCTGTTACTTTTCTTGCTGCATGACTTCTCTCATCTGGCATTGATTCCCGACAAAGGTCATCTCTGATTTGTGCATGTTGAACACCAGAAACCATTCGGTGCTAATTTACATAATCTATATTCTATATATCCGCCGACCCCACACCGTGGGGTGAGGCGTGATTGTTGATTGATAGCCTTAGCCTTAGCCTTGGCCTTAGCCTTAGACCTTAGCCTTATCCTTGGCCTTAGCCTTAGACTTAGCCTTACCTCCCCTACCCCTCCGGAGCCTTGTTGCAGTGACGAAAATCCGCCAAAATGGTGACGTGGATTGTCCAAAATTCTGCCATCCCAATTGATTTACATCTTGGGGCACCCTCTCCACCCGCGCGGTAAAAAAAGCACGGTCCAAAATGGTCCTGGGCTCGAATCCCGGGCTGGTCGCGGCGTGATCCTCGCCAATACCCTTGTTTTTTCCTAGATTTTGTCACGTTTTCTGTTGGATTTGTAGCATGTTCAAAGGCTTTTCCCGCATATAATATACTCAGGAATGCTCTTGGTTTTTCTAGATTTTGTCACGTTTTCCGCTGGATTTGTAGGATTTTCAACAGATTTTGTGGCATTTCCTCTTGTTTTTGGGTTCCCAGATTTCCTCAAAAATTGCTAACCTATTGCTAACCTATTTGATTCCATTCTTGTACTCGTGCCTACACCCTTGATTTTTCCTAGATTTTGTCACATTTTCTGTTGGATTTGTCGGATCTACATTTTCCCTTGGGGTCGGCGGCTGCAGGCGGTAGCCTGGTAAATATATATGTGTGTTTTCTTCTCTGTTAAATCGTTAAATCGGAGCCTTGTTTTAGATGTTGTTTTTTTTCCTGCAGTTCTTTCCATCACCTGGTGCGTTCGCCCCATCAGGCCTGGTGCTTGGAGCCGTCACGTCCGCCAGGACAGATTAAGCCACCCAAACAATCCTTGCAGAAGGCGATTTGACTGTTGCTGTAGGGCCGATGGTAGAACTTGCCGTGAGGGCAAATGCAGCTACTATTGTCCGTTGAGCCAGCATACAAGGTGGTGCTATTGATCAGGAAGTCTGCGCAGGAGAGGCATTGCCGCGTCGCCCCCAAGGAGGGATCATCGGGATCCTTGTAGGTTCCAAGCTCACAAAGGCAGTAAGTTTGACCTGTGGCCAACTGGAAGCTGTTGCTTGGACAAGGCTTGCACTGCTCCATGCCCAACTCATCTGCATAGCTTTCGGCTGCACAAGGTAGACAGCCACCAACGGCATTGCTGCGGAAGGTGCCCAGTGGACACTTCTGGCAAATCCCACTCACATTCTCTGTTCCGGCCGGACATAGTTCACATTCCACCACACCTCGCTGTCCTGCCAGGTCTGACCCTTCAGCTTGGTCACGTTCCTACGTTCGTCTATTGGAGGCTCATTCAAAGCAAATACGTCCGTCAGGCAAATGGACCACTTACTTACCTTCTTGAGAACAATTCACCTAGAATCTGTTTGACCTCCGTTTTATGATGCGCTGCCCACAAAAGTATGTTCCTATCAAATCTTGGACCAAACACTCATGTGTTGATGATGAGTGTATTGGGAATATTTATGTGCGCGCATGTGTGTGTGTACGTGTACATATATATATATATATACAAGTTGCGCTCAACCTGGGGTTCTGGGTGGGGATTGGAAGGGTGCGCACCCTGATGCGCCACTGCACCAGTCAGAACACCCGTCCGATATTACCCCGTCAGCACTGGTCTTCCAGCCATCTCCACCCATACATCGCTGGTAACACTCCACCTTGAGCACCCCTCCAAGCACCATGTTACCAGTGCCACTTCTTGAGGGTCAATCTGACTCCCCTTCTCGTGAACCCCACCTGAGCACCACGATTTCAAGGTTTAACTCTTTAACGGCGATCTTAATTGCTGTGCACAAGTCTGTGCACACCCCTGATAGAAACACCATCTCTGTTGCGCATCAAAGCGAAAACATATACAGTAATCTCCCTACCACATCAAGCAAAGAACATCATCATCGTTGAATGACATCGACCAGAACAAAGCAAGCATCATCTCCGAACATATCCTGCGAGAGATCAATAGTTAAGGCCAACGTCCAGTCCGTATGCTACAAGTACAACAGGACCCCCTAGTAAGTCTTTTTCAATCACCCAGAGTGTGCATGTGTGTGCGTGTGCTTGGACAACCCCCTATACACCGGCTCGTCCTGGCCTGGCAAAGTGCCTCGATTTGGCCCACAGGGCTCACACTGCGTGAATTCCAGTGGCGGACTGGGACGATTTCGATACGTGCCCTCCTGCCAGCCGAACGAACAAGCCCCCTCGGGGCGACGTTCTGGCAGCGTTCCCACGCGGGGGCCCCGGTGATGTTGGACTGATGGACCGAGAGGTTCACGTTGTTTGCAAGGTGGTGGTACTTGACCGAGAGGACACTTGAACACCATCGGATTGTGGGGAAAAGGCCCCAATCTAAAAAAACCGGTGGTCTTTCGAGACAGGCTTTCCTATTGTCAGGTCAGTGTCCCTAGGATGGAGAATGAGGATGGCTGAGAATTGGGAAGCTGTTGAGACGTGCCTACTCGCTCAAACAGTTGAGATCGTGACTTGGATTTGTGCTCATGAACATGTCCGCAACACCGGACTGGGAGCAGTACTATTATAGTTATATAGTTATTAGCATAATAGTTATGTCCAAATGAAGACCTGCATGAGGCTCTTGACTTTAGTGGACAACTGGCAGTTGTTCGCAACCCCTGCGGAAAGCCCACATTGTCGAACTGGTCCCCTCCCGCAGTCCCGTGTCCCGCGTCCTGACATGGTATGCATTCTGTGGCCAAGATGGTTCCACTTGCATAGGTGCCATTTGGGCAGCCCAAGCGAGCGTCCCAGGAAGGCGCTGGGATTCGAAATTGTGCTGAGGCGGATTCCACCGGCAAGAGCGTCCTGGCTGACACAGTTTTGTTCTTTCTGCCATGGGGTTCAATAAGTGTGTCGCGAGTAGCGAGTGTCGTAACAGTGGAGGTTCCCAAATTCCAAGCGCAATTGAACAATACTGCTGCGTTTGGGATGTCTGACTCGGCATGGCAATGCTTGCCTAATTCTGCATGGCAAAACTACTTGATGTCATTTTATATTCAATACACAAAATCCTTCAGACCTGCTATTGCCGGTTGAGCCGCGCTTTCTCACAGCTATTTGCAATAGTTTCAAATCATTGGGAGGCTAAGATTTGCGACTCTTTGGGGGTACAAAACCTGCACGTTGGCCTCCAACATATAGGTATTGTTTTTTAGTTTTTTTGTCTGGGCAGGCAGCATGAACATTGAAAGGACGCATTGATTTGTGAGCGTGTTGGTATATGCTGATCAGAATTAACGAACGTGTTGGAAAGGATAATCTATATTGATAGGATCAGTATGACTTCGTTGATATATATGTTGATATAGGATCCTATACTCAGTAAATGCCACAACGTATGACTTCCTTGCTCACGCAAGCCAATGGACTGTTCTTTCAGGACTGTTCTCCAGTGAGCGACTGGACCTTTCAGAACGTGAAAGATGCTGTGACTCTCTTCCAAAACCGTTTTTTGAAAACAGTTTTCCCTTGCAAAGTTAGCGTGGCGACTGCAGTGCTTTGTTGGTCAAGATTGCTGCTCAAACAAGGTAACTAATATAGACAATTTTTTTTGGTGACGAAATTCATGTGTGTGAAGGATGTGCTAGCAGTTGATTGAAAAATTGTATATATAGTTTGCATGCGTGCATCCATGATTGATTTGTTCTAGTTTCCCGTGGTTCCTCCTCCTCTTCTTATACACTTGTTTGTCCAAACTGCTTTGTAGCTCTAACTCAGGTCAGCTCTCGTTTGTTTGTGGTTTCAAGCCCTGCTCAGAAAAGAAATGTGTCTTGTGTCGTTTATATATTATATATACTGTAATTGAATTGTCCTGTCAAGGCCTGTCAATCATTCAATTGCTTGCTCCAATTCTCAGTCAGTTCGACAACCCTTTGTAATTAGTGTCTGTTCATTTAGCTTTCAATACATTGAATTTATTTCTGTCCACTCTCATTTAGCTCTTACTTTTTGGAGGCCATCGCTATTAGGTTGGACGCCATTGCTTCTAGGTTGGAGGCCCTCGCTATTAGGCTGGAGGCTGTTCTCTTTCTTGATGTACTAATGTTCTTACTGAGCAACCTCAGAAGCTACACAAGAAGGAAAAGCGCTAGTTGAGGAAGTTACAAAACCAGTCTATATATATATATATGTGAATATGGAGAGCTAGCCAACACAATAAAATTAAGGTTGCTCAGTACTGACAGCTAGATGACCTCAAGTAAGGAAGGGAGAGTACCTAATCAAGCCCAGTAATTTCAGACGTGAACGGAGATTATGCCTTTTGACATGCGCCTTGAGCCAAAGTAGTATATGGGTAACATGCGTATTACATGTATCCCCAAGATCTAGTGAAATTCCTATCTGTTCACCCCTCCTGCACTGCAGCAGCTGTACATGCTTGCAAAGTGCACAAGGTTCATGCTAGATCTTTAGCGCTACGGGCTCGCCCTTCGGCGAACTCAAAGCTCACGCTTTGCATGCGCTTGCGCAGGTCTTCCCAGGCCAAGGACTTCGTGCAAACGTCTGCAGGGTTAGCTTTTGTAGCCACCTTTAGCAACTCGATTTCGCGGTTGTAGAGCTTCTCTTGGATCCATAAGAAACGTGTCTGGACGTGTTGGCTCTTCCCGAGCCCACGGCGATTGGCGGTGCCGAGCGCCGCTGCAGAGTCAGTGTGGACTCTCAGCTTAACTTCCACATTCCAGTGTTTGAACATTTCTTGTAAGGATATCCCCAAGGATGTGCCCTTCACGATGGAGTAAAACTCAGCCTCTCCAGAGCTCAAACTGATCGTGCTCTGCAACGAATTTGTGTGCTTGATGGTATGGGAGCCGAATTTCACTACCAAGCCAGATGTAGATCTACGGGTGAGCAAGTCTCCCGCAAAGTCGGAATCTGCGTACACACCCAAGACTCTACGAAGCTGTTGCTGTCGGAATCGTAGGATGACTCTGGGTCGTCTCTTTAGATACCGAGCAAGCCTCTTAAGATTCGCAAAGTCTAGCTCTTTGGGCTCGTGCATTCTGCGTGCCAAGCATTTGACACATTCAGCGATGTCTGGTCGATCCTGCGCAACGTAGGACGCACGCATCACCAGGGACCGGAAGAAACTTATACACGGTCCGGTGACACGGTGGCCGACTCCAGCTTTGCCTGGACGTCGGTATACCGCTGACATCTTCTCACTTGGCGTTTTCACAGCCTTGCAATTTTCCATTTCGGGTTCTCGAAGCATTTGATCCACATGATGCGGATCTGCTTCGTAGGAGATCGTACCTGAGTACTCATCACAGGATACAATCCGGTTGAGAACTGTGAACTCCTGGTTGGTCTCACCGGGGCCCACTGATCCGTCGACCCTTAGGTCGTACTGGGGTCGCAGCTATAGGGCTTCCACATAGGATTGACCCTGTTGATCGGCAAGAACAACGGGACACGAACTTTGTGGACGGGGTGCCAGAAATTAAGTTGGGAAAGCAATCGGTTTCACAAATCCGCCACTGATTAGTAAAGCCAAATAGCTTTTCTCCCATATTGATGCTGCATCCCGTGTACCATACATGCTCTTCTGAAGTTTCCGGCAAAAGCCGTCCTGACGGTCGCCTTCAGGAAGTTCTACAAAAACATCTCGCTCTGCCAACCCATAAAAATGGGCACGCAAAATGTCCAGCAGCCGAATGATGAGTGCTGATCCTCTGCTGGATTTCTTCAGTGTGGTCATGAGGGATAGCAGTGTTTTGAGCCCTTCAAGAGGGGGCATAGCTGAAAATGAAGCGTGTTCAGGGATTAGATCGGCATTGGAAGCTCGCTTCACATCGGAACAGGTCCAGACTCCAGTGAGCAGATTTCACCATCCAATTCCAACTGCCTGCGGATAGCGCGGAGTATCCCAAGCACCAGCTTTGGTGGGCAGGTTTGCGCTGCCTTGGTGCGACCATCGATTAGATGGATACGACGATGCCAAGTCTTGCCTTGTTTGTTGGAGCAGCAGCCTGCTAACGCAGCTGCGAGGACCGGTGAGTTAGTGAGCCACCGAGTCTGTTTCTTCACCAGGATTTCACGATGCTCGTCCTTGCCCTTCAAGCCCCATCTGCACATAGGACCAGATACCTCGAATACTCGAGTATCACGGCGTAAGGAACCCATGGATTCTTCTTCCCATAATGATGCTCCATCAGGATGCTCGTGATAGAAATATCTACGACTGTCCATCTGCTTTCGATAGACCTGAACACAGGTCCTCAAATGCTTTCTACCTTCTCTCAGTCGTTGGGCTCTTGCTTCTTGACACACGTTTGCTTGAGTGTCCACTATGTTCTGTAGAACCGAAAACGGTCCACAAGGTGGAGACCCACCGATCACAGCTGGCTCTTCTTCGTCTATCATCTGACGCAAATCACGGATGTGGGAGTCTTTGCTAAGATCCCAAGATGTACCATCTGCACGCTTTGTTTCCAAATCGATTGAAAATCCCGCGCTCAAGCCTGCAACCTGTGCCTGAGCAGCAACCCGTGGTGGTGAGAAAACCTCGGCCACCTTGCCATTCTTGATGACTTGTTTCAACAGTGAACACAGATGTTTGATCTCGACATTTTCCTCTCCTGCTGGCAACCCTGCCTGCTCAGCAGATCCATATGAAACATCCGGAACTGGAGCTGCCGGTACCGCAGGTGCGGGACTCGCTGTGCTGGAACCACTTGATGGTTGACCAGCCCTGACTACTTGATCACGCAGAGTCTCGGTCTCTTCGAGCTTTCCATATCCCGAACCTCTTCTCTTTCTGTGAGTACCGCTTCGGGTCTCATGTCAGACAGCGGGACTCCAGTTGCCTCCTCCGACGCCATTTCTGCGTCCGCTGGCGCACGATCCTGCAGCATCGGCACCTCGGCCACTTCGGCCTCTGCCCCTCCTTGAGCAACACCTCTTTGCTCACCTTCGGCTTGATGAGCCCGTGGCCTTTTGCCACTCTCAATTCGTGCCTTTGCACGCTTGATTCTTTCCTGACCCTCAGCAGTCTTGGAAATTCCAATTTGGAAGCTTGGCATCCTGGGCAATGCGCAGTGTGCCCAAACTTTTCCAAATCAGCTTTCATCACATAGAGATTGCGAGGTATCACCTCCTGGACTGGTTGCCTTTGGCGTGGCATGTCCATGTCCGGGAGCGCGATCCAGAGACCGGCGTGATCTCGCTCTTGCAAGGCAGGCCGCGAAGGGCCTCAAAGTTCTCGTAGACAAACTGATCTGCCTCAGGCCTCCTCTGGATGGAGTTGCCTTTCATGATGCCCCTCTCGGTCATCACAAACACATCGGCATTCCGAGTGCCTGTTCCCACGTACATCCCCATTGAGATTCGTGGTGCTATGTCATCCCTCTTTCCACCCCGATTGGCACGAGGGCGGTAGAGGATGCGCTCTCCAAAACGGACAAGCGGGATTCGCCACTTTCCGATGCGAAAGCGGGTGAGAAGAAACGCCGCATGGCGAGGGATCCAAACCATCATTGGATGGGATGGATCAACCTCCTTGCCTAGGCGATGCTGGAAGTCGGAAATCAAAGCGCAACATCGCTTCATCTCCCTGACCCCCACCTCGATAAATCCGTTGGCCTTACGGTCATCAACTGGTGTTTCCACCAGGTGAACTTGAAGGTGAGGCTTTGCCTCTTTGACCTTCTGTTTGAGTGAAATAATGGCCGGCTCGCCATCTGACTTGAGCATTAACTTTGTGAAACTAGATTCTTCTAGAACCCCACCTAACCAAGCCACCCCGAAAGCGTCCGCCCCTTTTGCCGGAGCGCCGACGCCCAGAATCGTTTGGTTCTGTGGCACTTCACTACCAAGCATGGCAGTGTCTCTTCCTCAGCGGCGCCAGAATTCAGATAGAAGTAGTCCATTGACAACGTCGGCAACTGCCCTTCAGGCTCTTCCAACTCACGTCCTTTTCGGTGGGGATCATCCGTCACTCTGGCTCGCTTACAGTGAAGGCACCAGGACCTGTGAACCACATGTCCGGTCGCCTCGTGTTCTTCAACCTCCGCTTTGGTCGGTTGGTGCGGTTCTATCTTGATGATCGCTTTTCGCTGTTCTTCTCCGATCTCTAAGTCCACTTCTTCCTCCAAGGCTGCCTCAGGATTCATTGCAGGTTGATCTGCTTGTGCATCTGCTGCAGGCCCGGCGCCTGCTCCAGCCGAAACGGCCGAAACAGTGCCAAGGCCCAAGACTGCCTTAGGTCCTTCGCCCCGCGTGGCAGCCCCTGAAAAGGGGGCGGATGGACCCAACAGTCCACAACATAGATGCCTTTTCTCTTCATGGCTTTCGCATAGGCGCGGCCAGCGTCAGTGTTCCTGGGAATCAGTCGTCCACCTCGAGATCCAAGGGCCACATGATGAGTCTTAGCAGCATCGGACCCTGCCAAAAGTGCACGGTGTACGTCAGTGATTCGCCCTTCAACTGGCATCGCGTTTCCATGCCCATCGACGCCCTTCAAAGTCACACAGCCCTTGTCCAAAATCGGCTCGCCATTGGCGGTTCGGTCGGACAGGCCGTTCCCTTCAGAGCGTGGATATCCGGCTGCTGTTTCAACCGGAATGGCCGTAATGGCGGCGCGGTGTCGATGTTCAGCTCTATATACTTCATGCCATGCCAGCTAGCACGAAGTCCAGCCGCATCTCCTCCAAAGCTGTGGACTGCAACAGCCGATCCACCTTTACCTTCTCCGTCATGTCCTCCAGCTCGGTCTCGATGCTTATCAGGAGCACCAGGTGGATTGTAGTCGTCCTCTTCATCCTCATCTTGTTCATGGCCTTGGTTGGTGCCGGCTGCCATTGCTTTCCTCTTGTTCTTTCTTGCTTGGTTCCTCTTCTGGTTCTTTCTCTTTTTGTACTCCTCAGGTCTCTCCCTCTTGGTGCGTTTCATCTTGGTGCTGGATTCCAACACCTTCCTCTCATCCATTGGGAATTGTCGACGCGAAAGTCGCTCCTTCTTTCCGAGCTCGGTGACTGATGTTGTTTTCTCAGCCTTTCCCATCACTTCGGTCTCAATGTTGGCGTCCATCATGTCCCCATCATCGATGCGCTGTGGTCCTTTGCGCGACTCTGGATTGTCAAACCTTCGATGCCATTCTTTATCAAGTCGTATCCTCTCTTCAGCTCTTGCCGCCATGCCCTCGCGCCTATTGACGATAGCACGGCGCCGCTGCCTTTCCTCACGCCAAGCCACATGGTGGGGAGTCCCGGCAGCAACTGCTCGGTGGTACCTGCTGTCGTGGAAAGAGCCATCATTGATATTGGCCTTGGTAATTGGCGGTGCTTTGGCTGAGCGTTTGGCCAAGGCTCTGATAGCCTCTCTGGCCTTTATTTGGTCACGCCCTTCAAGATCGGCAGTCTCAGACAGCAACTGTCCAGCCAGTGCGGACTTCACCAACTGCACAAAAGCCGAACCAGTAGTCGACGCCGTCGCGTTTGGCGCTGATGCCGCCTTTGGTGGTGGTGGCTTTGGCCCTTCTGGTTGCCATCCTGGTGGTGGCCCTTCTGGGCTTTTGGGCCTCCATCCCGGAGGTGGTCCAGGTGGAGTCTTTGTCACGACTGTAGACTTAGGGACCGAACCACGTCCGTCCTCCGGCCGAACCGGCTGAAGGCGGACAGGCACGGTTCCTGTCTCTTCCGTCGCCGTTGGCAATGGAGCCACCACGGCATCACGATGGGACTCCACGCTTGGATTCGGTTCACACGTCCATTCAGATGAATCTGACAGGCTATCATCCCATTCAACATATTCACTGCCACCATTGCCGCGACCGTCGCCCCTGTCCAGTCCATAGAGTGTCAAGCCATTCGTCGCCAAATCCTCAGTCCATTCTTCCGCATCCCAGTCTTCCTCCTCAGGTTCATGGGTTGTGTCTTGTTCCACATTGTTCATACCCTTCTTTCCTTTGCCTTTGCTCTTTCCTCCTTTGCCCTTCGGATTGTGGCCCTTACCACCTTTATCACTTGACGGCTTTCCACCGCCAGATCCTTTTCCATCCTTTTGCTGAAATTGCCAACAGTCAGCTTTGATGTGGCCAGTCTTGCCACAATGGTAGCATGTCTTGGCCGCTTTTGTTCCACCAGATTTTCCAGAGCTTCCGGACTTGCCTTGTCCTTTCTTGTTCTTGGATTTACCTTTCCCTTTGGAGTTCAGTGCTCCAATGTCCATAGGATCGTCGCCGCGCGGGTCACTTGACGACACACTGCTGCCTGAGAGTTGAAAACCTTGACCCGGTTGCCGGTCTGATGTTCCACGTATGCAGTAATCTCACCAAGCATCGACGAGAAAGTGTTGAAGCGGTCGCGGTTGAGGACCAAGTGCCTCTCCAGTTCAGCCGGTACGACACGTTCCAACACATTGATTTTCACGTCTTCGGGCAGGATGCTACGATTCCCACTGGAGTCCTTCCTCCGCTCGCAAAGGCGGATCGAGTCCAACAACTTCTCAAGCGATTGCGGGAGCTCATCCATTTTGGCCCGGGAAGGGCTCAGGATGGCTGTAAGTAAGGCACGCTTACGGCCTCCCGTGCTCGGGTCAAATCTGCGGTTCAAACGTCTCCATCCTTTCAGCCCACAATCGGCGGAATTGATGATGATATCAAACGGCTCCTTTTCCGTCAACATCAAAAGAACGTCAGCCAACTCCTTCCGGATATCGTCAACACCCTCTATCCGATCCAGTTCATCGGCGCTCAATCCATAAGCCGCATCCACCATAGCACTTGTGATGGGTTGGTCTTGTTCCTCACTCGAAGTCAGAAGTTCCCGCAGCTCACGCCTGATGCTACACAAGTAGCTTTGGGTCCGAATCTTCCAGGGCAAGAAGTTTTCAACCGAACCTCCGAATTTCTCAGGCTTCCCGAGTCCGCGGTTGTCCACAAGTCTGATGGACTCCTTCTGCTTCAGGGCCATCACAAGTTCTTGCTGAGCCCTAATCAGCTCGGCCAACGCACCACTATCCCCAGTTGAAGCAACCGGAGAAGTAGGCGCGGCCAGCTGCTGAACCGTTTGGGTCAGCTCAGCTTCCCGCTGTCTCAACCTTTGGATCTCCTGCTGCATATCTTGCAGCGCAGCTGCCACATTCCGATCCATGAAGTCTCAAACCGCGTTAGACACACAAAGTCCCTCTAAGGAGTTGCGTAAAGACCCTGGAGCAAATCGCTCCGCTACCATGAACGGAGATTATGCCTTTTGACATGCGCCTTGAGCCAAAGTAGTATATGGGTAACATGCGTATTACATGTATCCCCAAGATCTAGTGAAATTCCTATATCTGTTCAAGAAGTCATATCACATTAGTTTTGGAATGGACGTATCATGAGGAACACAATCAAGAATTGAGAAAAGCTAGTTAGGAAATGGTGGACAAACAATCAAGGCGTAGTTAAAAGGCAAATACATACAGTAGTTGCCTTTGGGCACTAGCTGCAGAACAGCTTTGCTTACTTCGGTTCTGCAGTTTTGTTATGAAGCATGAAGAAACCGTCCATGAAGTGAGAGCATTCAAAAGCACCGTCAAAGCACCTCTTTGCTTTATGATTGCCTTTAAACGCTATTGTTGGATTGAAATTGTACATATAATATATAATATATATACAGTATATATATATACAACATACAACGACAAACAATTACTGCAAATACCAATTTATCAATGCGCATGAAACCAAAGCCTACGAACAACAAGTTTCATGAATGTTGGCTGCTCATCTGCCGGCAAACAGGTACCTTCAACAAAGCAAACACAACATGTGTATAACAGCATTTGCGGTGCAATACTTACAAATCAGTTGTTGTCATGGTCTCATTCTAGAATACGCAAATGACAAAGCCTAGTTTGCTGAAACCTAGGGAAAACCTGATCCCAATTAAGGAGCAAGAGCCTGACAAGGCACTCCAAAGGTAGGCTTTGTTGGAAGGGGGTACCGGATGGCATACATCATGTGTATATATATATTTATAGTATATTACACTATATATGTACATACAAATCTACCTAACATGTGAAATGGAAACAAACCCCAGTTCCCTACTAAAATCAATCATTCATTCAATCTTTGTTTGGATTGCTGACAGCCTGCCCGAAGATCTTCTCCCTACATGGCCCCAAGAAAAAGGGGCAACACATGCACCATTGGACAAAAACATGACCAAATGAATGACCATTCCTCGTGCGGTTTTGTTACACGATGGCCACTTCGAACTGATCTGTCTGTGGGTTTTGCCAATCCAACCTTTGGAGTCAACCAACCAACCAATCATTGTATCTTGACCAACAAAACATCGACGCCACCGAACAACCTTGAAAAGACTTCGCCTTGGAACTACCTCGCCCCACCGAAGATCCTGCCTGGTGACATTGTTCTCAAAGATCTGCCAATTCACCGTGGAACGCCCTCTGTTCTGACCATTCCAACCAAAGCTGATCGTCCCGAAGATGGTCTCAACATGGATCCGGCCTGTGGCGACAGTCACATGTGGTCGAAAGGGTTGAGCCCACGACCATTGACCATTCAAGATAAGAAGCATACTGTGTTTCCCAGCAGAATCGCCAACTCTATTGCCATGAGAGCATTGCGTTGCAGATTCCAGCGTGCACTAGACAAGCACGGTGATCTCTATTACTGTATCTTCCCTGGCAATGAGCATTCAATTTTATTCTATATAAATGCAGCATCAACACATTTGTACCAAAGCTTGAAACATGTCGAGCACTGCAGCTTTTGCTGATCCTACACAACTGCAGCTATCCGCGCTTCAATATCTCCCCCAACTACAACTATTAGGCTTTCCCTGCTGTGGTCAGTGGTGCATGTTCAATTTCCCAAACAAACGAGCCATGCTCCGCAGCTCTGCATTCCAGTCTCAACCATGTTTCGCTTCATATCCTGCTTTCATCAATTCCAGTGTCTCAATATTCGGCATCATCTACCCAATCAGCAGACCAATAATATCCCTCCTTTCTCGTGAACATGTTGCTTTGGCCCGTGCCTAGGGACTCTCGGATCTCTTCCCGCCGCTGGCTCTTGTTCATGGCAAGCAAGGATTGGCCATAGCCCTCCAAGCTGTAAACCAAGGAGATGCCCGCAGCCACACATGCTGCAGCATCATAAGTGGGATGCTTTCCAGTGGCTTGAAGGTATCCTAGGAGAAGCAAGGTCTGCGTTCTAAAGAGATCCTCCTAGATCCTCTCTAATGAGGCAACTTTATGACCATAGACCATAGGGATTTGATTCGACCCACCTAAAATTGGAACACTTGCATGATGCATGCATGGAAACGTGTCTATATGTGTCTATAGAATCTATAGGTACGCTACATAGTACAATATGACGTGAGGTGCTTGCGGACCAAGACATGCCTGCTATGGCATTCGCGAATCTGATCGCATCTGTTGGATCCGATCCCGCGAGAAACATCGTCGAACGAGCGCAGGGCGCCGAACCGGGCGGAGGCTCGGACCAGCCATATCGCACCCAAGCGGCTCAAGAGCATGTCGCCGGTACTCGTGAAGTAGGGATCCTGAAACTCCATGTCTTTGTGCCATTGGCCACTGCCCACGTTGTACAAGGCCTCATGCTGCCCCAAAGCGGGCGTACCATCGGGCCAGTATGACCTGGGCAAGTCGGAAGACGGTAGAGCCCCGGCAGCGTCGGTTCATGAGAGAAGAATTCTTGCACCACCCAGAAGTTGTCGACTCTCTGTTCTCAGGGATGTGACACTTGCGTCTTACACCAACCCAACAAGCCAACATTGATCAACAGTGTAAATACAGTATTCATGTGTGTTCATATTTTTGGGCGGTCAGGGACTTCTTCTATCAGTAGCAAAGCACCTGCACAAACAGGCAACGACAGGTTGCAGGGAGTCGTGTGCACGGTAGCAATGAAGGGAAGACGAGGAGCAAGGACGCTACTAGTAGCTCGGCAAAGTGAGTCTACTTGGGCCCTTCAGTGGGACGCGTGGGTGCTCGGTGGGGAAAGACTGAAGCTTCTTCATGCTACTAGTAGCTTCTTGCTCCTAGTAGTAAGGCCAGGAGCTACTAGTAGCGTCCTTGCTCCGTTCGTAGTGATGCCCTTTGTTCCTCAGGTTTTGGCCCTGAAAGTTTCAGGTAATGACAGGTTGGGTGGTGGAGGAAGATTAGTCAGCGGTTCTCGGCATATTCTGTGAACCCTAAAGAACACACTCCAACAGCAGAAGTTTCTGAAGTACTTCACTGCATTCGCGGAAACAAAGCACAAGTAACAACACGACGATACATATCCATGAATCATCCTATGTCGTCATGTCAATCAGCAGATTGTCCCAAGATGACCACTGATGACATTGACGACATCAGCGACGAGATGCTCATAGCCATTCCAAGCGGTTCCAGGAACACTGGGCTGACCGAGGTGCATCTTGTAATTCACCTGATAGGTGAATTGATCAACTCTCACCATTTGGAAGCATGTGCTATAGACATGTTGCTGGTCCTTAAAATGCCTAAATCTCACCACATCCCGTTCCAGAACATCCCAACATCACCCGACACATTCCTTGGGCTGTTTGTTATATTTGTTTCGCACCAAGTCTGGCCCAGCCTGTTTGGTTCTCATGGCCATCAAACCACTTCGGGCTGAAGTGAGCCAATTCACCACCTGGGCGAGTCTCGACTTCAGTCTGGCAGGTCGCCTAGTTCGGAAGGCGACCATTGACATGTGATCTTCTTGATCCTAGGCAAGTGCCAACTGGACATGGAAAAAAGAACATGCATGTCCAGCTTGCACTTGTCTAGGGAACGGGATCATCGGATGGAGCAGATGGACCCGGCACCGGGGTCCATGTATGGATGAGACTTCTGCTGTCGTGGGGTAGACCTCATGGGATGTCTAAGACCGTCAGACACGCCCCATGTGGACTGAAACGTTATCCTGAACATATGAACAGGATGATCACGCACACATATGGTGAGGCATGCAAAAGAGATATGTATCTAGGGCAAGAAGCCATGTTTTTGCAGCTTCGGTTGTCTTTCGTCAAACGTACGATTTTCTGTGTCACAACAATTGTGCGGGGACGACATATGCACACACACGGTGATGTCAAGACTTGCCCATCGCAGCCCAACTTAACACCCCATCATTCCGAAGGAAGGCCAACACCATGCGCAAAAGACGGGCGGAAACACAGCCAAGACCGAGACAGAGTCTACACAACTCGTCAATTCATGCCTTTAGGCAATCTACTAGATGACATGGCTAAAAACATCTAAACACATTGCATTCATTCAGGATCTTTGGCTTGCCGGTGCCATTTTTCTGGTTTGGATCTTTTGATCCAAACAATGGGTCCATCAGTCTTTGGTTTCACCACAGCTGAGCAAATCCAGGAAAGCTTGGAAGCAACGAGTCTTGTGAACGTTGTTCGTGAAGTCTGACAGCAACTGACGGCAAACAATCGTGTGGCATGAATAGTCGAAGGCAGACTAATGTTGCATCTGAATCCAAGATGCTCAGAATCAAAGCAGTCGTGGCTGCACAAAGAACTGTGAAATTGACATGTAATGTGTAGTAGCCAATAAATGCCGATCATCGATAAATGATCCCTCCGAATCATTTCATCTTAAGACGTCAAATATCGTCCGAGGTATACGGTATACGAGTGGTATACCGGTTACCAGCAGTACTCAGGTGGTGGCTGGGATTTGCAATGGGTTCATAATGGTCATAATGATGCGGTGGTGCCTTGCGGTTGGTGATACGGCGATGGTGAACATCCGATGTTTTGCTTGGCCAAACCTGAGAAGGTGAACAACCAAACCCATGGTTTCGGTGGTTTGTTCCCCCGATAATTACCCCAATTGAAGTGTTTCACACACACACACTCACTGTGTTGGAAGAAACATATATATATATATATGTCTATTATATATCTTAATATATATACATACGCGTGCACCCCCCGATCAATCAACCTTGATTCATGATCGGGTTCCTGTTCCCATCTTTGGTTTGTTGCTTTTCTGTCTCCACCCTGAGGTTTTGGGGGCTTCTCTCATTCCACTTCATGGCATGGTCACCCCTGAAAAGGACCAGCGGCAATGTCGGGATCTGCTCCTTGTTCACGCACATCCTGCGATCGTCAGGTCCGGGCCTAATTAGGCGCCGTTATCGTGGTGGTGGATGGAAAACAAGGAAAAACTCAGCCCAAAGACCCAGAGACTCATTGGCAGGTCCCTATGGTTGCTCGACTTCTCGAACCAAGCACCTTCAAGCACACGACGATAGAGTTCCACAGCAAACATACATCCTACGAGCGATGGGCTCCAGCCTAGTACCGATGGCCTCCTTCCTAGTAGCGATGGCTTCCACCCTCGTAGCGACGGCCTCCAAGCTACTAGCGATGGCCTGCAATCAATACCTCTTGCTCAGGAACTTTTCACCATCGGCTTTGCACGAGGTGTGCCCCCTCTCTCCGATCTCCTCAATGATACCCTCCACAAATCTCACCAATTTTGGTGACAGGAATTCAGCTCGAGAATCAAAGCCTGCTTCGACCACGTTGCTCTCCTGGGATCTGAAAGCGATTTTTGGTGAGCATGAATATACTGTATATATATAATATATATATATATTTATGATATGCATCTGTCCATGGCTATTCCGTATCGGTCCATATCTCCGTCCGCTCGCCTGTCCATGTCTATACAAATATAATCAAAATCCAAACACATATATATCATCATATTATATCATCATATACTCAGCTCATTCTCCGAAGGAAAGGAACAGCCCTCGATGTTTTTCCCAATTTCTCCCAGGTCTCGATGACTTGATAGAAGCTCGGCAGGTCATAAAGGTGGTACCTGGCAAAGGAGGTACGGGTCGTCGACCGGATCATCCCAAACGTCGAGGTCAACGAGAGCTGTCGAGGTCAACGAAGTCACGAACAACAAGTCGACTGGCAGGTGAACGCTTTACAGCCTCAGATGGGCAGGTCACAGTGTCCATCACAGCAATATGTGCATGATGGCTTTGCAAACCCACCTCGACATGATATCTGCCGACTTCGTGGCAAAAAAAAGTTGAGTCTGAGAGTCGCAGGCACACTTTGATATGGCTTAAACATAGTACAGTTCATCCGTATATATGATATATACCATATACCGTCGTATATAGTATACCCCAAAAAACATCAAAAAAACACGTATTTTGCCTTGCAAGATCTCCTGAGTCTTATCTCCGCCTGAGACTGCTTGGCACTCCCAGCTAGTTGGCAAAGAGCTAAACAGTGAAGCAAACACATGGGATGTGAACTAACACTTTGGTTTGGGTGTATCTCAACTCGTTTCACGACAAACCATGTCTCATGCAACACGATTCGTGACGCAACCGAAGCATTGTGTTTGGTGGGCAACGCACCTGTACCCAAGAGCATCAAACTCTGAGGCTGATCCACATTGACAACGCCCAGCCCGCACAAGACAGCCAGTCCTCACACCGGGTCCAATCAGCATCAAACAAATTGAAAAGAACACATGACTATGACAAGAGACAGAAACAAGTAAACCCATGTGTAATGTTGTTAAAAGAAGAAAAGTAAGGGCCAAAAGATAGTGGCCGGTTAAGGTAGCCTATTGTTGAGCCAGGACCATTCTGCAAGGCTGCAAGACTCTTTGCTGAGAAAATCTCAACCAGTCGGTGACCCTATCTATATATCATTCTAATCCTCTGGTTTCCAGTAGACACTTCACTTTCCCTCTTGGAGTTTTCAAGGTCCAAAATGGTCCATGCAAAGACACTCTCTGTAAGAACTCAAATACGAACACACCCAATGGTCCATCACCGTCACCGGCATCTCCAGCCGGTGATGGCACCGGCCATCGACCCCCACTGCGACCGAAGGATCTCCGTCGCCCATTTCTGGCACCACTTCTCGGTCGGGCCGATGACCCGTAGATTGCTGCTGCGACTCCACTCAGCCGAAGCGAGGGCAGAGACACGGGAAAATTCCGAGTCGAAGTCACGAATGATCAGCACAGTGCTCAAGTTCGAAAGGGATGCCTCAAACGGGATGGAAACAGAGCTGGGATGCAAAGTTCTGACAAAAACCCATGTGAAAGCCAGCATGGGTTAATGGCTAACATGCATAAAAATGCATGAAGTATGTTGATGCTTCCGGTGTTCGTTTATTCCATTTGGTTGTCTTACTTCGAGGTGATTGATTTGAGTCATCGCTGGGCGAAGCCTATGAATCTAAAGACCTATCAACTCGCTGGACCCTGATGCACTCGAATGTGTTTCATGGTTTGAGTGCAAAAATGACATTCAATGTTTATATATATATATATATTGTTTAACATAATTACAAATAAAAAATATAACAATAGAGTCATTCAACTTCACTGCTCAACATGGGCCGTGTCAGACTGGAGCGTGCGGAGCTCGCGCTATTAGTCATTAGTCTTTCAAGATCATTCAAGCCCTTCTTCGTCAAATTCTGAGACTGGCTGAAGCCGCTTCAAAACCAAATGTATTTAGGACCTCCTGAACCTGGCTTTTCGCTTGCTTTTGGTCGGTTCGGCACCCCCCGCCTGGCGCAAGGGGCCTCGCGTATACCAGGGAAAAGGCAAATGCAAGCCGAAGGCATGAGGATGACCACCGCCCCAGCTCAGTGGATTACCACCTGGCAAAGTCGGATGAGATCAGCCGAGGCTTCGAGTGTCATGCGCGTTTGAGTGAAGTGCAACGTTCATCGGCGCCTGAGCAATGAAGGTTGGGAATTCCCAAGAGCTCTGCAGCATTCTTGATGTCAATATTGTGCACTGAAGAGCCCACGACAATCGCATCAACATCTTCCGCATTGGCGTCATTAACACATCCCTGGACCTTCGACAGCGCATCATTCGACAGATCTATCTCGCATAGGATGGAAGTGATCTTGTACATCTGGCCCTGCTGCATGATGAAGCTTCTCTCGTTGGTGTTGTTGATGAAGGGGACAAAGAAGTCATGAAAACCTTCTTTCCAACCGGCATTCCTCTCTGCGGCATTGTGGATCATCATAACCTGGCTGAACCCTGTGAAATCAAAGTTGAAGACACCCGGAGCCGCACACACACTGGTTTTGAAGTTTAGCTATTTAATATAGCGCTAACAGTTTTACGTAATGATTCATGACTCGTGTATACTCGTATGCACAAGTCCAGGGGAAGAGATGTGCCAGTTTAGGGTCAACAGCTCCCAAACTGGAGCCATTGGGGTGTATGTTTATGCTTCAAATGGTGTTTGTATATGTTTGTATGTATCAACTATTGACCGTGAAGCTTTGATGGTGCTCGCATCCGCTGAGAGCACCAGCACGGAGAGAAGCCATCCTCGTGAAGGTGAACAGTGCCACCAAGCCATGAATTGCTGGGAATGGCACAATTTGACTACGAGAGGCCTACCACCAACCACAGGCCACGTGGCACTTCATCGAATCAAACATGTGCACAGTGACTGGTGACATCTGGTGACTGGCCTCCACAAAACAGCGTGGATTACCTTGTGAGATACTAGAATCAATTTCCAGATGGATTTGGATCCTCTACAAAACGTGCCTGCTCAGCTAAAGTCACTTATGACATCTTATGACTCTAGAAGTCCAAGGCACGCAAAGCCAAGGCAGCACGCCTCGCATGCGGGCGCCACGAGCGCGGGCGCCGCTTGTCTTCGACAAACATGGCGCCCTCATGGTGTCATCGCGTCGTCGACGGTCCGGGCCAGGAAATCTGAGCCCGAACGCTGTGGCGGGGCCGAACGAACAAGCTGACATGCATGACCATGGATGTGACGGGAAAAGCATGTTTGGTAAAAGGGAACCGTTCTTAGTGAAAACTATTGAATTGTTGAACACAAAGATTATAGATAGTATATTAATTTGTCGAACATGGGATACATGAGTATAATATGTATAGTAATTGCTTCAGCGTCAGCCCAAGCAAGAGTCAATTCAGCGTCAGGGCAAAACGACCAAACATCATCAAACATCTATACAGTACATGCCATATCAACAATTCTTTATGTCACACAGGCATAAAGAGAACAGCGCAGGCCACCGAGGGTCCCCGGTGTCAGAAAGGAGGGTCCCCCAAAGACCTTTTGGTGATCCGCAGGACGGATGTTCTGGCCCAGGAGACGCTTGTCTTTCAATTTAAGAAAAGACCAAGCGAACCAGCTCCGATGAGTGCCGTCTAACCTGCGGATTTGAATGCTTCATCACTAGGACACACTCCACACTGTCTGTGCGCCTCATGTGATTTAATTTAATGTTGTTGTTTCAGGACACTTGAAAAACTGAGGCCTCCAGATTTCTGTTCATGAGGCCTTCCATTTCTTGCTGTGAGTGCACACTTGATCAATCTGTTCACACATCAATCAGTTATCTCAATCAGTTTCCAGCGTTCAGCCACAAACGAAAGAGTCCAGCATTCAAATCGTCAGGGGGTTCTGATGGGCGCCCACACTCTGCGCGCGCCCGCGTTCAGAGTTCCTGAGAGGCGCAGGGGGGGAAAATGAGTGCAAAGCAAACAAACAACCAAGGAAAATGACAACTTAATTACTGTGGCTGTGCGGGCTGTGGATATCTTTCAATGCTGGAACTTGTTCAAGGTCCACATGATCCACATGTCACAGCCCAATCAGCAAGAACAACTCGCCTTTGGACCGCAACTGATGCAATTGAGGGCCGTCGTGTGCCCAAGGTGAAGCTCACATAACAACAAATAGAGCACCAAGGAACAACAAGCAACCAACCGACCCCAAAAAGGCAAAACAAACAAACAAACAAACCAAAACCAAACAAAACAAACCAATACAAAACAAAACACACAAACAGCAGTGCTTTCTGTCAAATATTAATATGTGTTAAGTAAAACATATATCAATTTATTACAAAATATCACTATAACGTTTGCCCAGTGAAACGACTCACAACTCTCAGGTGCCTCCTGCACGACTGTGATGTTCTGAATCTCTTCCAGAGTGAGCTCGTGAGCTTCGCAGCAACCCGGACCAGACATGGTCTCCCGAGAATCCCGCGATGGAGGTTCGCGCGGCTCCTTGGAGTTGCTCCGCCGAGAGTTTTGCCGCATGAGCATCCTGGGATGTTGCTCCGGTGGAATCGGAATCTCATTGGGATCCGCGTGGGATTGTTTGGCTATACGGCTATACCGGCTATACCCTATAGGGCTCCAACCAGATCCTGAGAAAGCGGTTGGTCTGGTTTGGAGGCTCTAACTACCTTCTGAGGATGTGGTTGGAGCCCTAGGAATATAATCAGAGTCTTGTGTGGTGCTAGAAATTGTCACCTCCCTTGGATCGTTGTCAAGGTTCCGTTCCCAAACGCAAATCAAATCCTCTGCCAACTTCCGAACCATATATCATATATGTGCGTCTCGAAGACTCTCCATCAAGACCAGACTTGTTGGAAAGTGGACCATCGCACAACCCAATGATGAGACCTTTTGAAAGGTTCCTAGTAGCTTCTAGGTAGAGGAAGTTACTAGCGGCTCCTGGCATCGCTACTACTAGTAGGAGCGATCAGATGCTACGAACGGGGCTCCTGGCCGTACTACTAGGAACAAAGCGCATCGCTACGTTCGGTTCCCTAAGGCCGTTCGTACTAGCTTGTTACTAATAGCTTCCTTGTTACTACTAGTAAGGCACTTGTTCCTACTAGCGTGGCACTTGTTCCTAGTAGCTTATTAGTTCCCTACGTTACCTACGTTCAGAGTCTCCCAAAAAGGTGGCCCTTCAGATTCTCCGTTCACGCTTTCACGACAGTCTGAAAACGCATGAGTCATGAGTCCGACCGGAAAACTGCAGGAGTACGGTACATGGCATGAATATGCATGGATCCGAAGATCCGAACTCGGGTTGGCTGAGGTTGGCTGAGGTTGGCTGTTAGAAACGTTGGGGCTTTGGGGGGACACAACAAGGTCATGATTTCCCTCTGTCTCCCTCTTTCCTTTCACCACCAAAGTTCAACCCAAATCGAAACGTGGGACCGTTTCCTTCCACACAATGCCCTCAATCCGCGGTGTCAGACCGGCCAATGCTGCCAAGCATCTGGATGCTGGATTGAGAGGAATTGCTGCGCTCAGGGACAGCAGAGTTCAACCTGGGTTTCTTCAGAACCTCCAAACATCCAAAGCACTTTTCATTCCTTTTCATGCTCATCTCGCACGCAGGGCTTGATTCAGTGAGAAAATCATATCTTTTTCTTTACGACAGCAAAATCACACCCACACACACACACAACATACCACACGCACATACGGAGAAAGGATGAGAAAGGATGAGAAAGCGATGCTGAGGAGTTGTTCGGAACGTGTTGTGGGTAGGGTGGGAGCCACTTTACTGAAAACACTGGTAAGGTGGTGCTAAAGCTGCATCTGAGCCCCACCTGTCCCCTCCAATACGTGATCTCGATATTATGCTTGGTCAATGGGTTTTGCTCATTGCCGCCCTTCTGGCTCTTCAAGCCCCAGGTCTTTCGTGCTAAACAGGGTGCTAAACCCAGGTCTTTAGTCTGGTGGTAACGCCCATGTCTGCTCCCGGCCTCCATGGCCGACACCGCGACCATACGGCGCAATACGGCACCAAACACACGAGAGGGGATACAACCAAACATGGCATGAAGCTTCAGCTGGGGGCCCTGTCTGTCTGTCTGTCGGATGTTCAACTGGTGCAATGGCTTTGTTGCATTTTGCTCGTTTGCCAAACAGCTGTCTTCTGCACGTTTGCCCAAATGTTTCAGTATTCAAAGCACAACGTGGGTCCAAACCAAGATCCGCGTGGTTTTGTCACCACTGTTACACGTCGTCTGCACTGTGAAATGAGGCCTAGAGCTCCATGTTCTTGTTCAGAACTCTTTTCATTTAGACTCAAAATCCATTCATTTAGACATATTTAGACGTTCGAGGTCAATCGACTCATTCGGATCTTGGAGGTTGTTCATATGTAGGTCTTTGGAGACTAAAAACATCTCACAGACCTTAGATAGGCGGCCTAGGCGTGTTATTTAAGGCAGGAGAAGAAATGAGAAGAAGCGTGCATGTTTGAAAGAGGGAGGGCTCCAAACGACTTTTAAAGTAATGGACGACTCGTCTCGGAGAATCTGTTGCTTTGGAGGGAGACCCCTTTGCCTGTCAGGACATCACCAAATTGGGAACCTTGGACATCTCCTTTCATTTTCTACAGTCCTCCAACAGAAATGTCTGACTTCCACTCAAGAAAAACATCCACTGGATAAACAATTTGCAGGGTGATGATCGGTGGACCGGGGGATTGTCGATATAAATATTGAACATATTCTCCAAAGCACATGGGTTTGGACCAAATCCTACGGTCCTACACGAGATCAGTTTGGTGAGTTTGGGGCCCAGACTTCAAGCGCCATAACTCAATCAAAGTGCATGAACCTAGTCTTTGTTCAAATTGGTTTAAAAACAACGACAACATGTTAAGCTGATACAGCTGCCAGTGGCCATGAATCACCCACTGAATCTCTGGAAGGACCTGGAACCGTCCGGAGCCCAAGGCACATGGGCTCTAAACGTCCCTGGATCAGCGAGATCTCAGTGGCTTGGATATGCTCACTGCCATGCGGAGTGAACTTCAAGGCTAAGACATTGAAGAGTTGGGAATAAACCACACGGACCTCCTCCTCGGCGCAGCTCGCGGCACGGGTGCACCGCTGGGAACTCGGTGTCATTCACCGGCATAAATGGAACATTGTTCATCACACATCCTCTACAAGTGACTAAATGATTCTGCTCCATACCCTCTACATTGACATGATCCCATGGAGGTTACAGGCTCTAATCCAGGACCAAACATGCTTGGCTATATAATACTGCATATGAATTCGATATATATATATATATATTGCACTCACTCCCCCTTTTTGGCCAGCTCACCTGAAGGTTTTCGTGTTTAGTGCTTCACTAAACACCCTTTCTCATGCCACGCCTATATAGGCATTATGGCAAGCCTCTGTAGGGCTATCCACAAATGGATTTATGGCTCTGTAGGCCAATTGCCTCTGTGGGCACGGCTATATGGCAAGCTGTTTTCCTAGCCTCTGTAGGGCTTTCATTTCTGAAATGGTACTAATAGGCACGAGACAAGGCTCAGCCTGTCAGCCTTCCACGTCCCCGGTACTGGACCTCTAGAGGGCCATCATAGGACGATAGTAGCGGAGCAGGGCACGGGTGTGGGGGGTTAAAGAAAGTTTCGTGAGCATAGATAAGCCTTCTTGAATATATTGCCTTGCAGCGCCAGAGGAACCCCACCTTCCCTTCAGGAGGGAGCGTTCCATTAGGCCGTGCAACCGAAAATCTTCGGTAGCACCACCTCGCCTCAAAGAATACGGCCTGAAAGTGGGTTTCAACTTAAAAAACTTGAGAAGTTGCCGAAATTGACTGCGAAATTCAGCTTTTGAAAGTGGCCAAACCAATTCATGTCGGGAGGAAGAGAGCTCTTGGACTGTCTGGGCAATGAGGATAGAGGGCGCATGTCGGACAATGACGTTCTCATCGATCTGTCTCCTAAGTCCTGTTTTTGTCTCTCCAAGGCGAACCACCATAGTATGTCCCTGAATTAACAAATGGTTTAGACGGACTTCGAAGATTTCTCCTGTCCGGAGAAGACCCCAAAAACCCAGGCAAAGGCAAAGAGCCAGCCTCAGGTTTTCCACTGCAATGCACCGTCCGACAAGTCCTTCCACAACTTGTATTGGGAAGGGCGGCGCCTGTTTTGGCTTCTCAACTTTACGCCACAGTCCATACAATTTCCAGGCTCCCCTGATCTTCCCTCTACTCCAAGGAAGGAAATGGTGCAACCCCGACAAAGTGTCTGCAACGCTGGTGATGCTGCTACCTGCCTGATATTCATCATCAATCCAATCTACCAAAAACTCATCAAGGTCACGGGTGGTTTTTTCCAGAAGAGGGAGCACTGCCGCTACCGCAATAAAATATCTAATCCTGGTTTTCACAGTGATGGCTCTATCATGGAGTGACAGCCCTTTACGCTTACGCCTACGCAGGCGGCGCAATGTCTCAGGATCTGCTCGCTTCATCAGTAGGGTTGTCAGCACTGTCAACGTGTGCCAGATTCAGCAGCCCATGTCCGGCCAACAGCAAAGCGGCGATCTTCCTACAAATGAATTTGAGCTTATGGCTTCCTGTCCTGCCTTTGCTAAGAATAGAAATAGCCACGTAACTATCACTCAAATGAAATAGACGCTGATTCGCGAACTTCCTCTGCATGGTCTTCCAAAGAAGGGACAAGTATATGGCCCTGATTTCCAAAGCATTTATGTGTTCTGCTTCATTCCACCGGACCTTGAACACTGGCTGCCAAGCCCACCAAACACTGTCCACACTCTGTCGCGGGAACGTTTTGGGGTTGAGCACCTGACCTGTAGAAACACGTATGTCAGACCCTGTGTGTCGTGTTTTGCTTCCCAAGATCCTATTCAACTCAGTAACTCCTGCATGGGTCCATGTCCCTGGAAAGGCTAGACCTCTCTGCAACGGACAGGCCAGCGGGAGCCTCAGAGAGCTCCCTGGAGGGAGCCCCATCCGGGAGAAAAGGACCTGAGGGTTAAACAAATTTGTATACTTGTAAACACTTGCCGCTGCAAAAAGTACAAACGACCAAATGGAGAAGCTATCGCCCACTAAACTGCATCTCTCATCTTCGTACTTTTGCTTGTTGTTCTTTGCCTCCGAAGCTGACATTGCCATGCACGTGTGGCCAAAGCCGTAACCCATCAAGATTTCACGCTCTGAGGCATCCAGCAACCGGGTCTTGTCCATGGCAGGGCTGTATACCAAGTATTCGGAGCGATACTGGTACGGGGGGTACCTAAAGCCATGATCCTCCCACCTGGCTCGTGTCCAGGTGTCTGCCCTGGACAACCCAGCGGGCCTGGGAGGCGGCCTGGCTCTTTGAATTGCTTTCATAAATGTCGGATATACGGCTGACTTGTCAACTTGTTCACATTCAGGTCTGAGCCATTGGTCTGCGCTTGGCCATCTGCCTTCCACCTGCACCTCAACATAGCCAGGCCTTCGCACAAGGGTGAGTCCTGGGCATGGAGGGAATCGAATCGATGTCCAACAGAAACGAGGCCTCGAGTTTGGTACCTGACAACTTGGGCAAACTTTGAACGGGATAACTCCTAGCAACGAGCTCAGCTGATCTCTCACTTCAACATCCATGCTTGCCACATTTTCCACAAAGAATTCCGTCGGAGTGTCAGGGAACAGCACGGCTAGCTCATCAAACACACGAATTGCCTCGTGTATCAAGCTGCTGGAAGCGCCCTGAAGGTTCTGGCGGTGAGCCCGCACACTGCTCACGTCAACGCAGGGAAACCCTGCCCACAGATGAAGTTCACCAAAATCACCAAAATGTTCCATCTCTTCTCTGAGACCTTCACCCGTCAGGGTACGCACATCTTCCCAGAATCTGGTATGGGGCCAGCGCCTTGCTGTCACGCGATTTGCTGGCTTGTGAATATCACAGGCTAGCACTCCTGCCACTCGCACACCTGCCACGTCATAACAGCGCTGAGCTCCTCCTATCCCATTGAACAGCGAAACAATCACCACGGGAACCTCTTGCGCCTGCCGCTCCCGCGCCCAGACAAAGCCTTTTCCTTCCTGGGTGAGACTATCACTGAAGGCGACCGCTCCTCCCTTCATGCTGGCATCACTGCAGGTCACCATCGGGTCGATCTTGCTGCCCAACCAAGTGTGAAACAGCGGGCTGCCACAAATACCTGTCAGCATTTCCTTCCTAACCTTATCCTGTGCCAGGCGGCCAAAGCCCTTTCCTGACACCCATTCCCAAACATGCGAGAAATGAGCCATGCCCGGCCGCCTAAACTGCAGAATGAAGCACAGCCTCCCCATGACAATTTGCACTTTCTTCTTGCTCAACTTAGGTTGTCCGCACAGCCAAATAACGCTCTTGAGGACCTTGATGAGACGCTCAGGTGAGGCTCCTATCCACTGTCCTTTTCCCCCGAGAAAGGCCCCCAACTCAACACCTGAGGAAGCCGCTACTACTGACTTATCTTCGGACACCACAACACCAGCGTCCACCCACAGACTTTCTGCCGCTTTCTGCAGTGCAATCAACTCGCTGGGCTCCTCATCTCGCACCTTTGCGCCTGCAGCAAAATTATCGAGATACACATGCCACCAAGGCCGCCCCTGCTTGTTTCCCAATTCTGAGCTCTCCAACACCCACGGCGGCAGAGGATGAGACTTGGAGATCTGAGCACAGGGATCAAAGCCCCCCTTTAGGAGAATCGTTTCAGCCAGGTCTTGCATGACCCCAACGGCCGAGCACCATCCCATGGGGAGCACCCTACAGGCCAGGTACACTAAAGAGGACCGATGGCCATCTACCTCCAGACCCAATTCCTCACGCCTGAAACACAGGTTGAAACACAACATCCTGCACCAGCAAGGGGGCAACGCAAACAGGTAGAACGCGCATTGCATGTCACTCTGTGCAATCCGAAGAGTTTCCCCTTCGTCAACAACCACATTCAACCACTGAGTTATACTTGGGAGCTTATCCACCTTTCCTTGAATCGTCTTCAACACGGCGTTTGCAGGCACCAAATTCATAATAAGACGCAAAACAGTTTCACCAGAGGGAAGCCTTTTAGGCTTGGGAACGCCAAACAGTCCACTCAGGACTTTTTCGCCTCTGAACCTGAACACCTGTTCCTCATCCACCCAGGTGCAAATACCTCGCCTGACAAGTTCAACAGCAATGCTCTTTTGCTCACCTTCGCCAATATGCACCTTTCCTTGTAGCTTCGGCAACTCCTGCCCCACATCAGTCACTAAGCACAGGTCAGGTCGCAGAAGTAGAGATCTAGTGCGTCCGCTAACCCACTTCAAAGTGTCCACCGAACCCCCATGACCTTCAGGGGGCAACCCTGGGAGCACCCTAGCTAAAGTCAGCGGTTCGGCCTTGCAAATTTCTTCACCCGAATACGTCACTGTCCTATGTTCAAAATCATCCACAATGTCAGCCACTGTCCATGCCACTGTCGTGTCATCGTCCATCAAACGTTGGACCGACATCTCAACAGCTCGCAACAAATCCCTCTGCGGGGCTGTAGGTTTTCCTTGCCCAAACACAAACCCTTCATTCGCCAATTGATTGCAAAACAGGACTCCTAAGGAGGCCCAGCACGCAACAGCATTGGCTTTGACAAATTCCAAATCATGCAAAACTGACGAAACCGACACTTTCTTTCCGAACCGAGAAAAGTCCACGAACCAAACTTGAGGGAGGGGAAACAGTTTGTTTTTGGAGCGAAAAGCTCGTGGTAGCTGGCTCTTCTTTTTCTGCGCCATGTCGGCGGAGAGTTGGTCAAGGAAACTTCCATCAAAGGCTTCCCCTCGCTCACAAATGGAGAAATATAGTCCCACTCCCAGCGCGGAATAGGTTCCAGCCAGGTCCAGCAGGACTTGCCACCACTTCAAACCGGGCGGCTCCACAGCTCCTCTCTTCACTTCTCGGCTTCGCCCTCTTTTTCTTTCTCTCCTTTTCCCTTGTTCTTGTCCTTCTTCCACCACCCCTGGTCCTGGTTCTTTCGCCATCCTCCACGGCCTGACCAGGGGTCTGCCTTCTCCTTCTCCTTTCCTTTCTTTCCATCTTTTCCTCCTTTTCTCTTTTTCCACCAGGGCTCGGTGTCCTGCCAGCCCCCATCTCCTTTGCCGCCCTTGTCTTTTCTCACGCGCCCCCTTGCCTCGTCTGGTTGAGTGACGCGCTCCATCATCTTGGAGAACTTCCGGGCTGCCAGTGTGATGGCTGGCCCTGCTGCTGACGTCTGGTCCGGGGAATAAAGCTCCAAATGCCTGGCAGCCGACCATTGCTGATCGAGGCTCGCCTGTTCGATCGCCAGCCACCGAGCCGCCAAAGCGTCTCCCAGTTTGGCCAGGCGACCCACGCGAAGCAGGTCGATGACGTTCGCCAGCAAGTAGGTCTCTCGCCCGTCCCGGGATTGTTGAGAGAACGCCCCTGATTGGATCAGGGTGTGCCAGATGTCACAACCTTCGTTCCTGTCAGGACAGGGTCCGAGCTTTCCCCTGCACCGCTGAGCTCGTTGAGACGAGCCTCTATCCTCTCGATGAGAAGACTCAGCGCGGAGCCCTCCATCCTCTCGCTGCGTTTCTTCAGGGGCGGAAGGAGGTCCTCTTTGTCTGTCTCGCTGCTGTCGACGTCCTCGCCACTGGAGTAGCTGTCCCCCTCGTCTGACGAGGGACTTGATCCACTTGGGTCGCCTCCTTCTCTCTTTCGCTTCTTCTTTTTCTTTTTCTTTTTCTTTCCTCCCCCAAATATCGTCTGCAGTGCCTCCACTGCCTTTTGCTTCTTCTTCTTCTTCTTCTTCTTTTTCTTTCCATCCTTCGACTTGGAGGTCCTGGCTGCTTGTAGCGCCAGAGAGGAGGCCACATTCGACTTCTTGCTCATCATCCTCAAGGGCTTCAAAATATCTTCTCTTTGCTCCTCCCCATGGCCTTCTCCACTGGTCAGGGCAGCACGGCGAGGGCCAGCTGCCCCCTTCGGGGGTCCCAACTTCGTAGATGTGCCCAATCCTTCCTGAACAGGGTCGACATCTCCATCCCCCTCTACACCCAAGTGGTCTCCACCTGTCAGAGCTCCTTGTCCAAGTCCCAAGCTTTGTTGACGCTTCCTGACCTGGTCCAACCTGGCCCTGAGCGTCCCGGCAGCCGTGCCAGCGGGACCAGGTTGCTTCGCTTTTGCCGACTTCCTGATGTCCTTTGGGGCGGTCTCGACGATCTCCCTGACCTTTTCCTCGCAGTTGAGCCTCTTTGGGTTCCCCGCTCGGCTTCTTCCTCAAAGCAGAGGGTCTGCCAGCGGCACCTTCCAAGGGCTCTCTCACCTCGTCCAGCTCCTCTCCAGCCTCGAATTGTTTCACCATGCGCTTCCCTGCGGGTGACAGGCGGTGCGTCGGAAATGTGAGTCCATCCCACAGCTCCAACCGTTGAACATGGAAAACACCGCCCTCTTCTCCGCAAAAACCTGCACTTGCGCACACGTGAAGGTGTCCCTCCTTCCGGTTGAAAAAGGAAGCTTCTGGATGTGAGCTTCCTACCGACTTTACCCTGACCAGGGCACTTCCATCGGCGCCCAGTTCTATACCTGTGACCAGGAAGATGCCTTCCACCCCATCGGCTCCCAACAGCTCGCCCGGAACTGCCGTAGTTATAATATCTCCCAACTTTATCTCCAAGGCGGACCATCTGGCAGGCTCGTTCACATCGAACAGCCCATAGGCGCCTCCAGCACCTACCAGTTCCACCTCTGCCTCGCCTTCCGTCATTTCTTAGGCTGAGGGGGGGTGCCGGCAATCGCCGACGACCTATAGGTGCGTGTGGATCAAAGTCAAAGTGACTCTCGTCCAGCTTCCGGTGAATCTTGAGGTAAGGGTCACGCTCGGCCCTGTAGAGACGCTTGTGTTTGCGCCCCGCTCTGTGTTTTGGATTCCTGTGTTTGCGCTTCCTGTTGGACTTGTCGTCCTTCCGCTCCGGCCTTGATGGCTGACTGGATCGATGTCGATGTCGACGACGGTGTCTGGAACCTTCAGGCACGGTGCTGCCACCAGCCTGTTCTTCTTCTCCGTAATCTGCCTTCTCCTCAGTCTTGATCCTCTCCGCCACTCCTTTGGGGGGAACTGGAGGTTTCGCCTTTCCTGAAGTACCTGGGGCCGCAGTCGCAGGTGGCAACAAGGGGTCGACCAAGATGGTCTTGTCCGAGGCCGCCTCCGATTCCTCCTCTTCCTCGTCGGACTCAGACGAGTCCTGCTCCTTCTCCTCGTCCTTCTCGAGAGGCTGCGGGGCGGCTCCCTTCTTCTCCTCAACAGGCTTCGGTGACCTCCTCAAAGGATCGCTCCCGATGCGGCACGGGGTTTCCCCCAGCCGGAGCAGCCACCGGAGGGACACGCGCGGGGAAGCGACCCCCAGCGGTCCCCCCAGTGTGGGCGTGCGGTGCAGCCGCAGTCACACGAGTGACCCGCAAGGCCCGGACCTGGCGCACGGCCGAGACCACCAGGTCTGTAGCCACCGCCCGCAGGCCTGGGTGGCTCCAAGAGAACGAGAGCTCGTTCCCAATGGCCTCCCAGGCACTGCAGGCGAGGCACCAGGTGTCACCGGAGGACGGTGACACGCGGCGGCACCGAGCGCACACGGCCATAGACCGTGAACGATCCTTTTTGAGCCCGTGGCCAGTCGGTGTTCGTGCAACACATCTCATGTTCCAAAGATGTCATATATATCATTGTAATATTGTGCCATAATACAAGAAAGTGTGCTGAGCCATTCCATTCCAACACAAGGCTTGGTGTTTTTTTGCCCCCTCTTGCCGCTTATCCTCCTTCACCTACCTCTGAAAGCAGCCCCCCGCGCCCTCCGGACCTTCAAGTCATTGAGTGGAAGGCTTTGGATTCCGTTCTTTTCTCTTTGTTAATGTTCCATAATTTGTCATAATTAAACTTTAGATTAGTCTATGTAGTCTATATGTTCCTGATCTTTGGTTTGTCTTTCACTGACGGACAGGATGCCCGAGTGTTTTACAGTGAAAAATTGTGAACATCGATGGTGGACAAAGAAGTCTCAGCCTGACAATAAGACCAACTTGGGTGTCGGGAAGAGACATCCATCGGCCCTCAGGAGTCACATCGGCACCATGCCCATGTCGTTCCAATGACGATCAATGTGTCACGTCTGAGTCACATGTGAGTTACATGTGGTCTTACACCGGAAGGTATCCGTGGTCCGTATATCGTATGTCTCGTTCCATGCCCGGTTTTACACCGCGGACATATGGACTCCTCCGGCAGGTGTGAAACGGGATCTTGAAAGCCTTCTTCAAAGGACCAAAAGGACAGGATTCGACTCTTTGGGAGGCGGGAGGCCTGCTCACTGACAGTTATCTGGCCCGGGGCCCCTGAAGAGGGGGAGAAAGTCTAACTATTTCGTACGATTTCTGAAAACCCCGTGCCAAAGGGACCAGGACTTTACTTTCCTGCTTCCATGCCAACCCAGCGACAAAGTCGGTGCCCAGCATAGACAACGCCTCTTCGGTGAAAATCTTACCATCCTCAGGAGAACAGCTAGATGACTCAATGGGAGCTCTCTTCTGACATCTTGTCCAAGCTTCTTGAGGGAATTTTGAGGGATACTGGCTTGGTGGAAGCCTTAAAGAGACTGGGCAAAGATTGCCAAAGCAAACATGATAAGTATTGGATAAGTTTGCCAAAGCTCTTGGGCCAACTTGTGGAACATCCGCTCAAACTGTGACTCCTATAACTGCTATGTGTGTATGTGTGTGTTGTGTTCACCGTTGGTGGGAGTCGTCAGAGTGAGGAAACCAGCAAGGCTGGCAAGAGAGCTTGCCTTTGGAACATGGTATGCTGCAGGTCAAACCCCAGTGGGTGACTCTAAAGCTTATGATCAAACCTGAATGATAGGCATACCAATCCTAGAGCGCTCAGAAAATTGCGAATAATACAAAGGTCACAAGGCCTTTGCATCAACCACCAATTCTCCGGCGCGGTGACCTTCCCCTACGGATTTAAAGGGACCAAGAAGCCTGCAGGTTGAAGTGAAGATGTGGATCAAAACATGGAACCCTCTCTCTTTGGAGTAACAAGTAGGCGACACCGACAGACTGCACGCCATGGTTATTAGGCACTACACCGGGGACTAGGGAGGGAGATGGACCATCATATGCATCACTTGTTGGGGCTCAAGACCTACCCCTCGTGAAATGATCGTTTATGAACATCCCTTGGTAGACTATTCTGTTCAGTTCTGGGGTGTGGCATCACGTTGAGAAAAACCACTTTTCGACCAGCCCTTCGTGGTCCCTTCGCGACCTTCTGCGCCCCTTTTCCGTCAGGTGCGCCGTTTTTCGCCCAGGGTCCGCCAAGGTTTCCCAGAAGCTCGGATCTGGATAGACAAAGAATTCATCTGCTCGGATGGGAACCCAGGCCTTTCGGTTCTCTTCGGGGCACATCACCAAAGACGCTGCAAACTGCAAGTGATGGAGGACACCTCAGCAGAGCTCAGATGTGTGTGTGTGTGTGTTAACACCTGTTTCCAAGGTTTGTACCTGGCAAGTCTGCGGTAGATTCCACTAGAAGGCTGGGTGCTACTAGTAGCTTCTGGCCTTACTACTAGGAACCAAACTAAAACACAAACAGCGCGAGTCAAAAAAGAGGCAGGGGGGCAACGACCGGTCTTCCTACGTTGCCCAACGAAGCTACGGAAGACTGGTGGATGCATTCAGGGACGCCTGAATGTGTACCTGCTCAATGTTTAATCAGGTCTAGTTGCCTATTGCCGTGCAGTTCCAAAACAGTGTTCAAACACCTTCAACTCTGCTGACTCATCGCCTTTCTGTTTGCACTCCTTTTCAGTCAAGGTCTAATGCATCTAAAGTGGGACTTCATACTGATCCTAGCTCTTGCGAGCAACCATCTAAGTGTGTATCGCCACACAGTCCCACTGAGGGCTGTGGTGTGATCCCCGTCGAGGGGCGCCGCATGTGCATAGACCCAGATCCTGGGGGATTGCTTCCACCTTGGCATTTCGTTCGATTCCTTCTGATTTGCTGTCATTGCTCGATACCACGGATACTATGCCGCAGGGCTCACTGAGACTCAAACTTTGATCCGGATTTGCATCGTCATGCGAGCATGTGTCTAAGTATTCACCTGTACAGTCTGCACGTCTAAGTAGTCACAGGCGGGGCTCAGCACTGAGACATAGCACTGCATGCAACATTCGCATGCACCTTTCGGCTTGCTTTCCAAAGTAATCTTTTGTGCAGTCTACATGTCTAAGTACTCACAGGCGGCACTTGTGAGTTTTTCCGGTGCATGTTCTTGTCATGTTCTTGGGTTCTGTCTCTCTTGCTGTTGCTTTTCGTGAAAAGAGGCCTTTCTTTAGGTTTCTTTAGGTTTCAGATGCTTGGCAGAAATGGGTCCGCCGTCCCCATAATCGGCTTGAAATGCCAATGATGACGGCCTTTGGGCCACCCCTCCCTGCCCCAGGCCTCCGCTGCTATCCCACCCGCTATCTAGGGTTATAGAAGGAAGTCGCACTCAACACACTTGTGTGTTGGTGCCTTTCCTTCTATTTCTCCTGTCCTACCTCTAGCTACCCGGGCGGTATAAGACCAAAGTCCCGCTCGCTAACTTCTGCACGTATTGTAACTAGTGGGCCTCGTAACTACACCTAACTTTCTTTCTTGCCCTCTTAGTCTGCTTTTGTTTTGTTTTCTTTGTCTGTCTTTCTAAGGCTTTTTAGGTGGCTAGTACTTTTCCACAGCGCCAATATTGGCGCTATGTGTACAAAGCTGTTGCACCAAAATCGTTTCACGTAAGGGATACAGAGCGCCGATTGCGGCACAGTGTGTGTGTTAACACCTGTTTCCAAGGTTTGTACCTGGTAAGTCTGCCGTAGATTCGACTAGAAGGCTGGGTGCTACTAGTAGCTTCTGGCCTTACTACTAGGAGCCAAACTAAAACTAAAACAGCGCGAATCAAAAAAAGAGGCAGGGGGGCAACGACCGGTCTTCCTACGTTGCCCAACGAAGCTACGGAAGACTGGTGGATGCATTCAGGGACGCCTGAGTGTGTACCTGCTCAATTTTTAATCAGGTCTAGTTGCCTATTGCCGTGCAGTTCCAAAACAGTGTTCAAACCTTCAACTCTGCTGACTCATCGCCTTTCTGTTTGCTCCTTTTCAGTCAAGGTCTAATGCATCTAAAGTGGGACTTCATACTGATCCTACGTAGCTCTTGCGAGCACCATCTAAGTGTGTGTGTGTGTGAAGGGTGACACCGGTGACACAACTTCAAAAGTGCTACATTGAGAGAATATACTTGAGACCTTTTCATCGATAGAGTCAAACCCAGGGGCAAAATTCCAAACCCTCAATACCGTGTGGCCAGCTTTGACGATTGAACCCCTGCCAATTGGCGATGTGATCATGTTCACCTGTAGGCGAGGTCCAAGTCAATAAGAAACATGTCATGTAAAGCATCTTCCTATGGGGGGGTGAAATACAATTTAAGAGTCTAAGAGAGTACATATTTGCTCAACGCCGCGGTCAATGAACCTCTGTGGGCCAACACTCGGGTGGACTCGTCTCTTCAAACCCACGAACCGCTCGCGAAATCGCCGACCCGGTCGGAGAAAATGGATCGAAATGGCATGTACGTGGCTCCTGCCGCAAGACCTGTTATTGTTTTTGTGTGTTCCACATCAACAACCGCACCAAGAAATTGCACAACTGGCATTCGACGCGAAGGCAGCAAAGAGACCTTGTGTCAACAGCACGAGGATCGCCTGCACTCCTGCAGCTCCGCTGGGTCAAGGAGCAGCTTGCAGAGTGTGTTTGTTCATGGGATAAACAACGAAACGAAACACTTCGATCAAACCGATAGACCGAAGCTGGACTCGGGATGTCGCAGTCAACCGCCAATTGGGAACATCACCGTGAGAAAAAACAGTTTGCCTCGTTGCAAGTTGTTGGGTTTCCAGATTCATTCATCGGGTGTCACCTTACCTTATAACCAACTCCGAAACCCAGCAAAAGCTGGATGTGATGCCATTAACGAAATTTTGGGTGCGGGATGGTGCGGGTGTTGAAGGTTCATCTGATTCGGTGCAAACCTTCATCGTTTCCATCGTTTCAGCAGGATGCAGACCGGGTCGTTTGACCAGGCATACCGCGTCATGGTAAGCCATCGCACCCGAGTCGTCTGAGACCATGTTTAGCCTCGGTAGAAATGCAAAACGCCTGTTGGGTCTTCGGGCCCAGCCACCTGTGAACGGATGGCAACAAAAACCCGGGGGAATGCTTTTGGAACATGGTAGAACTAAAGCCAGCGCAAAACTTAAATTGCTTAAAGGCGGGTCATGATTCTTCACCTGGGTCAAGTTGTCCCCAAAGATCAACAAGCAGTGCTTCGCTGCTTCACAAAGCAAGGTCGCATTCTGTCAAATTCGGTCGAATCAAAGACTCCAATTGACTCGCAGAGAGCCGTTAATGACGCTGAACTTCGTGGGGCTCCCTGAAAACCTCCGTCACTCCGATTGAAAAACAGGACTGTACTTCCCCCAGTGTCCCAGCTCCCAACATGACATTTTGCACGTGCCCCTATAGGACCCAAGAATGGCCGCA